AACAGAGACAGACTCATTGAGGGAGAGATGACAACTAGTGGCAGGGCAGAGTTGGGAGTTTGGGGGATGGCAGGATCAAGCAAAAAGGCTGAAGGACTCATGGATGTGAACTACAGTGTGGTAACTGCTGGGAGGGAGGGTAAAGGGGGAGTAAATGGTAACGGAAAAAATATAATGAAGATCAAATTTTTAAAAAATAAAAAATAAGACACAAGTGTACCATACAGCATGGTGACTATAATTAATACTGTATCGTATATATGAAAGCTATGAAGCAAGTAGATCACAAAGGTTCTCATCACAAAACATTTTGTAACTACATGTGGTGATGGATGTTAACTAAATTTACTGTGATCATTTGTCTATATAAAAATACTGAACCATTATGTCGTACACTTGAAACAAATGTCAGTTATATCTCAAAGAAGTATAAATAAGAAAAATAAAATATTGAGTGCAAATGCAGTGAATTTAGAAATTAATTTGGGATGAACTATTTTAAATATTAGTATCATCTAGGAAAAACAAGTCTAAAGCCATTCAAGATTCATGTCCTTTAATTAGGGTTTATATTTATACCAGGCCTGTACCTTTCTCATTAAATTTATTTCAAGGGATTTAATGAACTATGTCACTACGTAGGGAAAAATTTTTAATATGTTGCTTCTAACACTAACTAGATATTGCCAACTTGGAGAAAAGCTTTTGATTTTTGTATTATCTATCTTGTAACCAGCCAAATATCTGGTGTGGTAAACTACAGAATTTGTATTATTAAAGGCTACCTTGCATTCCAGTGATAATCTCAAGTTAGTAATGATGCACACATCTTTTTTATACAATGCAAAATTACTTTGCTTAGATTATCAGTAACTGTAGAATGAGTCTTGAATGAGATTAGACTATCATTTTCCTTTCCTATTCTTTTTGATATCAAGATCATGTTAAGCTACTTAAAAAACAGAAAATGTTCTCTTCAATCTGCTTCTTGAATTTAGAAAGTTATCCATAATAAGTCCTGATGCAGATCATACCTAACATTTATTTGCTATCTCTTCCTCAACATTGAGATGTTTGTCAGTGTTATTGGCTTCTCAAGTAACTAAACAATAAACCACTATGAAGTAAACAACTGTATAAATAGCACACAGGCTAAGCGACAGAACGCTGCCAGCAGCACCAGTTACCCTGTGCGCCTTCCTCATTTTCACCCATGGGGCTTACACAATACTATGTTGGCTTTTAGGAAAATCATCTTCTTGCTTTTCTTTATAAACTGCGAGGTAACTTTGCAACTCTACACAGTACAGTATCACTTAAACAATCTTTAAATTTTATCTAAGCAAAATCATAGACTGGTTATGCTTTTATACTTGCTTTCTTACACTCAATAATTATCCAGGTCATTGCACATTCATTGGACTTCATTTAGTGCATGACCAAAACAGTATATCATCTACTATAATGTTAATATAAATTTCTGATTTTTCAGTTTCAGGCTATTACATGTAATATAGCTATAAACATTATTTTACATGGATCATAGTACTTATAGGCTTACATGTCTCTGAAATAAATATCTAGGATTGGAATGGTTGGGTTCAAAAGCATGCATATCTTAAACCTCAAGGGTTAATTAATGCCTAAGTGTTTTGTGTTTGATTTACACTATTACAAGCAGTGCAGACCTTTCTGGTTCCCATCTGTACTATGATAATATGGTGCATGTGCAGTGAAGCGCATCTTATTTGTACTTTCTACATTATGTATGAGAGCACTTTTAATAGTTCATTTTTAAAATTTTTTCCATTAGAATTTATTCTCCCTATACCCTCTTCCACCTCCACCCATCCCCTCACCCCTACCATCAAAATCACCACTGTTGTCTGTGTCCATGAGTTCTTTTTGCTCGATCCCTGCACCCTCCCAGTGCTGTCAGCCTGCTCTCTATCTGAGTCTGTCTCTTATTTTGCTTATTAGCTTAGTTTGTTCATTAGATTCTCCGTATGTGTGAAATCAGTCAGTACTTGTCTTTCTCTGACTAGCTTTGTTCTCCAGGTCCATCCATGCTGTCTCAAAGGGTTAAGACATTCTTTTTTTTTTAAAAAAATATTTATTTATTTATTTATCTTTAGAGGGGAAGGAGAGGGGGAGAGAAACATCAATGTATGGTTGCCTCTAGTGCTTCCCCTGCTGGGAACTGGCCTGCAGGGAACTGGCTTGCAACCCAGGCATGTGCCCTGACTGGGAATTGAACCGCGATCCTCTGGTTCGCAGATCTGCACTCAATCCACTGAGCTATACCAGCCAGGGCGGGTTAAGACATTCTTATTTTTTTCCATTTACACAAATGGAATACTACTTGGCTGTAAAAAAGAAAAAATGTATGAGAACATTTCTTAATAAGCAAATTAGCTATTTGGATTTTCTCACTTGTGAAATGCCTGTTTTTCTTTAGGGATGTTTGATTATTCTGTTTTTTTAGTTATTTCTGTATTTTGGACATGAGTCCTTGTCAGTTACATATATCGTGAACACGTGTTCTGTGACTTCCACTCTTACTGATGTCTTTTCGAAACAGGCAGTTCTTCATTTTAATGTAGATTTAACAGTGTTTTCCACTATAATGATGTTAGATGTATTAACACATTTAAGCAATCTTTTCCAACCCAACAGATTAAGATACTCTCCTGTATTATCTAATAAAATCTTTATACTTTTACCTTTCAGATTTAGGCCTACAATTCCCTTGGAACTCATTTTTGTACAAAGTGTAAAGAAGAAATTAGTTTCCTTTCTCTTTTTTTTAAAAAAATAAAGATACCCACTTTTCTCAGAACCATTTATTGAAGACACTATCTTTTCCCACTGTTTTAAGTGTCACTTTTACCCGTTTGTGGGTCTTCTTCGGTTGTGATCCATTATTTGTCTTCAGCACACCAAGAGTCCTCACTGTCTTGATTCCTACAACTTTATAATTAACCTTGTTTCACATAAAGGTTTGTCCTTCTTCCTTTGTACTTCTTCAACTGATTGGTTATTTTTAACCCTTCGCATTTCTGTATGAATTCTGGGAATAATTTTTCATGCTACACATACACACACACACACACACACACACACACACACACACACACACAGCCTTTCAGTATTTTGACTGGCTTTGTTTAAATTTATAGTTCAACTTGGGGAAAACTGCTATTTTTCAATACTGAAATATACAATCCGTGACTTAAATACTTCAATAATTTTTATGCTATTTTTAACAGGTAACTTAAAAATAAGTATTTTCAACCTGTTTATGCCTGGTGCCATGAAATACAATTGATATCTGTATACTGATTTCTGTATCAGACTTGAACAACTTATCTGTGTACATCCAGTAACGTTTCCAATGTCACGCCTTATGCCATTCTCCTCTCCCTTGAAACCCCACACTTCTGGAGACACAGCTCTATTCCCAACAAAATGATAAAAACAGTATAATTTCCAACAGAATAATGCATATGTAAGCAAAATTTTATATAACTACCACAGAATTCACTATCTCCATTGTGCAAAGTTGGACTAAAAAATCCTACCCTACATATAATAAGGCTTAAAAACATTAATGGAGGAAGGAAGAAGCAAATAAATGTGCAAGCAAATATACAAGAGTAGATAGAGGCTGATGCAGTTGCTCATCTGGGTCTGTGAAAATTTGTCTAAAGAAACTGTAAAACGTAAAATAACCTTGGGTTTTAAGTATTTATTTACAACGTTCTTACTAATACAACTGCTTTTAAAATATAGTAATGAAGGCTCATTTACAATTTAAAAGTGACAAATATGTGGCAGAGAAAAAAATCTATGTAGTCAGTTAAACTATTAAAGAAGATAAATGCAAATTGTTAAATGACAATTAAGTGTTTGTAGTGCTCCCTGAACAGGTAGGAAATAAAAATGCATTCATTCATAAGAACTTGATTATTTTCTATTACTGACTATAAAAACTATTGTGAAAAATTACATCAAGACTTGAAAAATATTTTACAACAGCAAATAATGTATTTCAACTTTACATTTAGTTATGGGGCCTTAGTAAAGAGTTGACCATACACATATCTATGTATTTTACAGATTAGTAAAACTGACGTCAACTTTAGAGTCATATTATAAAGAGTATAAACAATCTTTACCACAATTTCCGTGTGGTCATTCCTCAAAATAAAATTCCACACATCATCAAACTAAATCAAGATTTACTAGTGGCTAGAAATTACCATAAATATTTGTCTCTGAAACAGCTACAAGTATATACCAATATCATGTTTGTGCAAAATATTCATTATTTTTTAATCTCTCTGTCCTTATCTCAATTTGCAAAGGTATTTAGAAACAATCTCCTTTAACTGTTATTCTTTTTAATCAGGGCAAATCTTTTTAAACCCACACAATGGATCTTAAAAACACTTGAGAACAAAATAAAACTGCAAAAGGAGCAATTTAAAAAGTACTTCAAACAGCACATATGAAACAAGACCCCACTATTTAATCAGATATCTGGTTTTGATCTAGGTTAAGTACTGTGGTATCACTTAATTTCTGCACAAATTGAGATACACAAGTATGTATTTCCAAAATTCATTCATGGACACTATACAAAGAAATTCACGGCAGTATTTAACATAGACCAATAAAATTTATTTACTGTATGTATCAGGTTGCAAAGCTACCTATATCATGAATAACTTAAAGATATTGGTCTTCAAATGAAGGACTTGAGCAAAGAGAAAAATTACATCAAAAATCAATAAAAGTTTCTAATAAATTAACTTGAAAAATGTAGGAGGTTAACCTTACTCTTTCAAGAAGAAAATCAAATGCATAGTTTAGTGTTACCCATCTCCTTTATGCTTTCACCAAGTGCTAACGACAGTACCATTGAAGTCAGTTTCTTATTTGCACATGAGGTGTTAAGTGTCTGTAGTGAAGTTTTATAAGCTTCATATCAAATGAGTTGTAGATCTACTTAAAGCATAACTTCTCCTTTCAAAGAAGGAAGGAAGGCTGACAAGGGAGGGTGATGGGATACCCTGTAAAGACAAGACAAATATTTTATATTTAAAATTTTTTCTTTCAAAAAATTGTAAACTATAGTTTAGCATAATGCATATCATTTTATATTTTACAAAATACCATACCAGTTAATTAACAGACATCTGAAAATCCTGAATTCTTTAAATAAATAAAAGAATTTAAAATTGGAAGGGAGAGAAAACATAATTAAAAATATTTCATCATTATGAAAACCAAAAACAAATGGATACACGAGTTAACTACATACCAACTCAATGGAATAGATATTGACTTACTGGTAGTTACAGTACTTAACTTCTATGTTATATTACTAATTCAGTATTTCAGGTGATCAAAAAGTTGTAAATTAGTGAAAACTTTTGAGGTAAAAAAATAAACCCTAGTGGTTTCCTGTTAACTTAATCATAAAGAAGAATTAAGAAATTACTTAGTGAGAAATAATTTTCTAAAATTAAAAATTGTTCATTCCTGAAGAGGTTTTATATTACATGTGCAACCCATATGTATGTATTTGTATTTGTGTGTATATAATTTTGCCCCATATAAAAACTGAATGAAACACCAGTACTTCTGACAATAGAAATTAAGCTACTAAACTGTCTAAATTTGTTGCTTCTAAGATCAAAGTTAAATATCAGAACTTTAACAATAACAAAGAAGCATACACAGGAATACCAAAAATCCAACTGTGGGTGTAAATCAAAATGAATTAGGAAGCAAGTTACTGTTTTATTTTCACATATATAAAAGGCTAAGTGTAACTAAAACTCAGAACCAACAAGGTTCTCACCTACGAGGTACTAAAATGAAGTGTTTAAAGAGCTGTGTTGATAACATATCACAAAGCAATGATTTAAGTAGAAAATATAAAAATACATCTTCCTGAAGAAAAATGTGTTATGATTTGCTATATTAAAAGCATAGATTTTATAAAATGCCATAAACCTAACATTAAGAATCAGATTTGGGATGAATCCCTTTACATGGCAATTACTAGTATTGCTTAAAATAACCACTTTCATACATGAGAAAATTTCTAGTAGCATTGATTTTTTTCTGGCCTCAAGCATAAACTACCTTGCAAAAATATTTTTATGTGTCAATATGCAAAGAAATTCTATTATGCCTAGTTGTTGTGAATTCAAAGCAATTATAAAGTTGTGAATTCAAAAGTTCCCACCCCCCTTAAAAGTATTCAGTAGAGAACGAATACTTTTCTTCTACACAAAAACAAATTTCAAATAACTAATACGCTCACATTAAACTTCATGGGGCTTGTTTCCATAACTGGTTGGCATATCTCCTAATTCTTCACAAATATCAAAGACGAGTTGGATAGAACTTTTTTTGAAATTTGAAAAACCAGTATTTCCTTTTAGTGTCTCTGACAAACTAGCTCGTGAGGCAGAATGACGTACAGATGTAAACCAGGACTTTTGAGAGCGCCCACCAGTAGAGTTTGAGCGCTGAGCATAAACATGCTTAGTAAATCCAATTTTATTGCTTTTGGAAACTGAATGGATAATCTGTTAGAACAGAAATAAGCAATGGAGAAGAGGACATAAATGTCTAAAAGATATTTTAGATACTTCTTATTTATATTGTCTATGTAAAAGTGACAAAACCATAAATAATACAAATTAATTTCCTATAAAATCCAATTACCTTCATTTGAAAGGCAATGTTTACAGTAGTTACTCACAGATGCAGGAAATAAACAAGGGATGGTTCTTTGGCCTTCAGAAAGCTTATAATCTAATTTGAATATAGAAATGCCTATTGTATTTTATCAATTTTAATGTGTTTTTCATTAATCAAATTTCTTTGGTTATATTTGTATTATCAACTAGGTACAACTTTTCTCCTGTCAAAAGGTTAACCTTGACCAAATATCTATATAAACATGCTCAGATGTGGCTGTAACCCTTTGATGTATTAAATCAAGACTTAACTAGCTGTAAAAAAGTAAGCTATTAAATGACGTGTCTTATGTAAATTTCATACTATAACACGTAACCACTTATAAAACAGCACAGCAGCCACAGCAGTGACTCTCCCCCATGACCTGCCAGTTGAGAACTTACGATTTAGTACAGCACCCCTTTTTCAGCTGTAAGACCCAATGTGAAAAGTTGAAGAAGGGCATTTACTGGTGCAAGGACAGCCCTGTGCAAACCCCTCTGGGTGGAGTGATCTTAGCATTTTTTTAAAGAAAATCAAGAAAGCTAGTGTGGCTGGAATTGGGGGTGAGGGGGGTGGGCAGAGGACATGAGTGGTAGAAAATTAGAAGGATGACAGGGCTGGGGGAGACTGAGCATACAGCCATGGAGGGGTTTGATAGTCTGAGGATAAAGATTAATGAGGGTTTAGCTAAGAACAACAGGGGTTCTCTCTCTGGCAGCCATGGGGTATGTGACTGGGAGGCTGAAAGAGGATGGGGAGGGGGGCAAAAAACAAAAAACAAACAATAAAAAACACCAGAGCACACCCTGTGTGCCAGGGGCTATTCAAAGGACTTTGTATACAGTAGCTTATATTATCCTTACAACTACAACTTCAGATCATTTTATAGATGATGAAACTGAAAATTCCCAACAGGCTTACAGTGAGTAAATAGCAGAGCTAAGACTGAATGTACATTCCAGAGTTCATGCTCTCAGCCACTACTCAAACTGCCTCACTATATAATCACATCATATAGGGGTGTGTGTGTGTGTTTGTATTTAGTCCTTACATTAACACCAGAGGGAAGCACTATTAATCTCTTTTCCCTCATCAGCAAAAAATGGTGGTAAGAGAATAAGAAACTTGCTAAAGGACACGTAACTTTGATAGTCTCTTGTAGGTTAGGTTAGTAATTTTACAGAGATACATCACTCATATACTTAGTGACAGTAACAAATGTTAGAAATGGCCTTAATATTAATCATCTAATAATTTTGACACCATTAGAAACTTGGACTTTTTAGAAAACATTTAAAAATATAAATATAAATTTGGAACCCGTATCATCCTTAGAAATCCAGTTTCAGAGATTATATTCTACTCATCACAGAAATAGTAAAAAAATAAAACTCAGCCTCTATTATACAAGGGGAAAAGTAATTTTACAGTTGTACCATAATTAATAAATTATATATATAAGAATAAAGTGTTCGTGAACTCACAAGTGTAAATCTACTTTTGCCCACTCCTGTATTACTGGAACCAATTTGTATAAACAGAACCATCACTACTTAGGTGAGTAAAGTGACAGGCCAGATTGAAACACGATTTTTTCCTTAGAGATTTTAGAACATATCTCAATCCAAATAAAACTTCCTATCAAATAAACAACATTTAAAGTATGTATTTAACTCTATTTCATTAAGTAAGGTTTCCTCAGTTACCTTTACCCAATAAAAGATGTTAGAAGTTAGGAGATACTAAAAAATGATAGAGATATTCAATTCCCATCTTTAAAAGTTAGCAAATTCCATACTTACTCCATAAAAGTAAGTCATTCAGCCCCTTACATCAAAGTCACTTACTGCTAATGATGATGTGCTAGGCAGACGACTCAGTGCCTGCTTGTCACTGCTGTGAGGACTCCTTCCCTCCACTGAACTTTGCGACGGCATAAGAGTCCTTCGGAGAGCTCTTCTCGGAGTTTTGGAGAAAGAGAATGCTCTTGTAACCTAGAGTTAAAAAAAAATAATTAAGTCTGTATAAATTTAATATAACTAATAAAAACAACTATATATAAACAAAGCCAAATAACATAAAAAATTTTTGTACATATAATACATAATGAGAATCCCTTCGAACAAAGCGCTGAGAAAATGTAGAAGTCAGTCCTCACTGAGCATTGTGGTCATGAACAGGTTCTGTGACTTCATGTGAAAGAACACATAACAAAACCAAATTTACTGCAGGTTAACTGATATAAATAGGAGTTAAGTTCCTATACTATCTCATCAACATTATCATCAAATGATGTTGAACATAATTCAAAAATCTGCTGTCATTTGCATTCAAACAGCGCTACAAGTCAAATGGATAAAAGAAAGTGCGAGCATAAACCTGGCATGGAAGAGAAGTCTTGGTTTTATTTTGTCTGATTCTGCTAAAATTTAGTTGTGCTCTTTAATTGAAAGCCATGTGAAACTCAATTTCTTTATTGAAAAAGTGAAGGAGTTCATATGACTCGTGATTTAACATGTTGAACTAAGATCTATCATACATGTTAATTGCTGGGAAATACAAAGATGATTAAATAAAGTACAAGGCTTCCCCTCAAAAGCAAAAACAACCAAAATATGTAAATCTAGCAGCAGACGTTAGCTGAAATTTTAACCTGGACAATTAACATCCTAGTTCTACTTTTAAAAAGCCCTATTATCAACATTCTTCCATAGTTGTCAATAACCCTGACAAGGTAAGTAGGGGAGTTATCTTCATTACAAGACTGAACCATGGTCGGGTACAGATCCCGGGTCTTCCGTCTCTGTCAACTGCCCTTTGCTGAACAATGTCTGAGGCACTATTTAAGACGAATGCACACGTATCTATACGTAAAACACCATCAGTACACTTCTGCTGAAGTAGAGTTCATAGATGTATCTATAACAATAGGAAAGATATAATTACTTGTGCCAAGGTTGTTATAACTACTGTGCCCAAGAATTCACTGAACTAAAATGATCTCTGTGGACCACATCTATCCCAAACTAACTGTTTTAGGCTACCTTTACACTGGTGTTTATGGCAGTACTGTTTCAATTTACTCTGAAAAACACTTTTTGGAGATATGTTTCAAATTTCCACTAGGGCTCACCTTTTTTGAAGTCTTTTTTATTGCTCTGGATGCTCTGCTCAATGTACTATCCATATCTTTTGTATTCACTTCAAGGGTTTCTGGATCAGCAGTATAAATAAGATTTTCCTGTTGAAAAATGAACATTTTTATTATTTTAAAATAAAATTTAAAAAATACACAACTGTTTCTAAAAACCAAACCTTTAGTCACTTATCTACATATGGGAGTATATGTAAATGAAACCATTCAATATTTTTGATGTGCTTGACATAATTTCTATTCTAAAATGTACTACTAATTTAAGATAGTGGAAAATAAACTCGGTAAATAAAAAATTCACTACAAGGACAACAGATACCACTGCAACTTGAAAAAGAACTTAATATAAAATCTTACTAACAACCCTAAAACTAACAAGTTAGAAAATTAGCATAATTTATATGCTTAAAAATAACGTCTGTGACAAAACCAATATCACAAACACTTTCCCTGAGAAAAATCTCAAATTTAAACTTACACTTTCTCCTACTTTTCCCTTTCATCCTCAATTAACATGTAGAAGAATTCTAAATTGGAGGTTCTGAACCTGTGATCAAGAGTTCATAGAAGTGGCAATGCATGGAAATCAGAAGGTATGTAATCCCCATAAATTATGTGCAAAATTATGTGTGTACGTAAGTGTAAAGCACATTTTTCTAAGGAGGTTTAGATCTTATGTCAGATTATGAAAGGAGTCAAAGTTTTCATAGAGGCCAAAAACCACTAACCAAAATTAACCTTAAATGAAACAAAGGAACACCAAGTAATTTAAATATTAATTGTTCAGATCATGCTTCATCTTTCAGAAGAAAGCAAGTTAAAGCAAATGTTTTCATATATTCCCATAACCAATTTTCACTTTATAAATCTGGGCCAGCCATGAACTGGCAAGTTGCCTCACTACTCTAGCACAGTAGGTAGGACTGACTGTTCTCTAGCACTACCATTCCATTGCTAGAGAGAATTTTATACAATCGTGTGGATGTTGGTTTTTCTGAAAATCTCCTCCTCTGCAAAAATGTAGAAAATACTTGGTATACCTAACCCACTGTAATTATACAAAATAATGCACAGTAGTTCTTTGAAATGAAATATTTAACTCCTTTATAAACACAAGGTGTTAAATATTATACTCAACAATTATAAGTGCTTGCTTTGGCTCTTCACCACTAAAATCCACAGACAGCCTTAGTTTTTCTAAAGCTTCTTTAATTTCATTAGAACGACACAATCCACCTTGCCTGCTCCAGACCCTCTCTTTTCCACTTGATCTATTTGCTAAATGACTCATAGTTGCTTATCTAATCCCACTCAGGAACAGTACTTATAATTATTACTATCTTTAAATACAATGTTATAATTTTTACTGAGTTTTTTTTTTAAATCACATCATCAGAAGAAATTTAGAAAATTTTAAATTAAAATCACCCACACACTCTACTAATCATTTACTATTTACATTTCGGCATAATCCTGACAGGTATTTTCCTACATGCATGAAATATTTACACAAAATTATAGTTATTTAGCTGTAGTTATTTACTTTGGGGTAACCCCCCATGTCTTTAAATACTCAAAGGAATTACTCTTAATGAACAGCTTATAAAAGTCCCTTCTGATTATACTAGAACTAATTTTATCATTTGACTATTTTTGAACACCTAAAGTGTTTACACTTTCTTGTTAGGAAATAAACTATGATAATAGTATGAAAAAGGAAAAATAATAATACTTATAAAGAATTTAACCAAGGAGATGAAAGACTTACACACTGTAAACAACAAAGTATTACTGCTGAAAGAAATTAAAGGAGACACAAATAAATGGAAAAACAGCCTGCGTTGATGAACTGAAAGATTTAATATTGTTAAGAGGTCAATACTACCCAAAGCAATTTACATACTCAATAAAATCTCTATGATTTTTTTTCAGAAAAAGAAAAATTCATCCTAAAATTCCCATGGAGATTTCTGACCAAGATGGAGGCATAGGTAGACACAGTGTGCCTCCTCGCACAACCAAAATAACAATAAAAAATTAGAAACAAAAAACAACCAGAACTGACACAAAATTGAACTGTAAGAAAGTCCAGCAACAAAGGAATTAAAATAGAGACATTCATCCAGACCATGTTGCAACCCAGCAACTGGGCTGACCCTTCCTGGTGAACACCTAAGGCTCCTCCCCTCACTACATAACAGCTCCAACAAGACCAAAAAAAAAAAAAAAGGCCCAAATGAAACAACAGATCAAATCTCCAGAACAAATACAACTAAGTGACCAAGAGATAGCCAACCTATCAGATCAGATGCACAGTTCAAAACACTGGTAATCAGGATGCTCGCAGAATTGGTTGAATTTGGTCACAAATTTGATGAAAGAGGGAAGGCTACACTAAGTGAAATAAAGGAAAATGCACAGGGAACCAATAGTGCTGGGAAGAAAACCGAGACTCAAATCAATGGAGTGGACCAGATGGAAGAAAGAAACAACCAAACAGAAAAGAAGGAAGAAACAAGAATTTAAAAAAATGAGGAGAGGCTTAGCAACCTCCAGGACATCTTTCAGCATTCCAACATCCAAATTTTAGGGGTACCAAAAGGGAAAGAAGAAGAGCAACAAGTGGAAAACTTACTTGAACAAATAATAAAGGAGAACTTCCCCAATCTGGCAAAGGCAATAGACTTCCAGGAAGTCCAGGAACCTCACAGAGTTCCAAAGAAGTTGGACCCGAGAAGGAACACACCAAGGCACATCATAATTACATTAGCCAAGATTAAAATGAAGGAGAGAATCCTAGAAGCAGCAAGACATAAGGGGACAGTCACCTACAAAGGAGTTCCCATCAGACTGTCAGCAGATTTCTCAAAAGAGACCTTGCAGGCAAGAAGGGGGCTGGAAAGAAGTATTCCAAATCATGAAATCCAAAGACCTACATCCAAGATTGCCCTACAGCAAAGCTTTCATTTAGAATGGAAAGGCAGATAAAAGTACTTCTCAGACAAGGTCAAGTTCAAGGAGTTCATCATCACCAAGCCCTTATTTTATGAAATGCTAAAGGGACTTATCTAAGAAAAAGAAGATAAAAAACATGTATAGTAAAATGAGAGCAAACTCACAGTTATTAAGAACCACACCTAAAACAAAAGCAAAAGCAAAAGCAAAAGCAAACTAAGCAAACAACTAGAACAGGAACAGAACCACAGAAATGGAGATCACATGGAGGGTTAGCAACAGGGGTATGAGAGGAGGAGAGAGGGGGGAAAGGTACAGAGAATAAGGAGCATAGATGGTAGGTAGAAAATAGTGGGAGAGAAAGAATAGTATGGGAAATATAGAAGCTAAAGAACTTATGACACATGGACATGAACTAAAGGGGGGGAATGTGAGTTGGAGGGGGTGTGCAGGGTGGAGGGAAATGAAGGGGAATGGGACAACTGTAATAGCATAATCAATAAAATAGATTTAAAAAAATAACATAACATAAAATTCATATGGAATTTGAAGGGACCCCCAATAGCCAAAATAATCTTAAAAAAAAAAAAAAAAAAACCAAAGTTGAAAGTCTCAGGCTTCCTGATTTCAAAACACTACAAAGCTACTATGCTCAGAACAATATGGTGCTAACATAAGGAATAAAAAAGAATGGGATAAATTAGAATAGAGAGCTTAGAACAGAACCCACAGCATCAAAAATATTCAAAGGGAAAAGGACAGTTTTTTTCAACATCTAAATATCCACAGGCAAAAAAGAATAAAGTTGAACCCTTACCTTACACCATATATAAAAATTAAGTCAAAATGGATTAAATATCTAAATATAAGAGTTAAAATTATAAAAATTCTTATAAGAAAATACAGGACAAAAGTTTCAAAGCAATGGATTTAGCAGTCATTTCTTGGTTGATACCAGCAGCAGAGGCAAAAGAGAAAAAGACAAAATGAACTTCATGAAAATTTAAAAATTGTATACATAAGACAGTATCAAAGAAAGAGTAAGATGGTAACCCACAAAATGGGAAAAAGTGTTTGCAAATTATATATCTGGTAAGGGATTAATATTCATAATATATATTCCTAAAATTCAACAACAAAATAAACATTAATATTTACCACCTACATTTTATTACAGGTTTTTGAAATGGGCTCACTTTTCATTTTTAATTCTTGAATCTACTGTTAGAAATTATAAAGCTAGAATATACCATCTCATTTTCTCTAAGTATTTAATGAAATATCTTAGACATGTGTTAACAATTTTATTAAATTGTTATGGTTCTACACTTCTCATACAATGAAGTCTTATTTCAAGGACCTCTATCCTTCCATTGATCCACCTATAAATTTTTGAATCAGTGTAAAGTGTTCTGATCATTGTAACTTGAAAATTACAATATCTCATAAAAGAAGTACTATGTTCTAAATTTTCTTATTGTTTTAAAAGAAAATCATCCTTGAAATCATTCTATCATATTTCAAATATTTCCTATAGGATTTTATAAGGACTTCAATGAATCAACATCTTTATGACTAGTCAGTATTCTCACTGAGAAACATTATAGGTCTCTTTGTAGTTTTCTTAAAACAGATATCATTTGTTACTTATAAGGATATTCCTAGATTAATTTATACCAAATATTATTGAAAAAGGTATATGTGGTGGGGGTGAAGGTCTTTATTATCTACACTTTCTAGTTAGTTACTACTGACAAAAATGAAAACTATTTGTATGCATCTATATTTATTTGACCAACAGTTTTCAATTAGTTCCTGCCAGTCACCTAGACAATCACATAAAAAATTTCCGTGGCTGGTGTGGCTCAGAAGATTGAGCACTGGCCTGTGAACCAAGAGGTCACCAGTTCAATTCCCAGTCAGGGCACATGCCTAGGTTGCAGGAGGTCCCCAGTTACAGGCTAGTAAGAGACAACTGCTCTGTGTATATCCTGCACATTGATATTTCTTTCCCTCTCTTTCTCCCTCCCTTCCCCTCTTTAAAAGAGAGTAAATAAATTTTTAAAATCAAAGAAAATAACAAACCTCTGAATAGTTAACACCACTTGCCACCCCATGGGAAACACCGCAGCCAGGACTGTGATACAAGCTCTGCCCAACCCCGACTCTCCCTGCATTATCTCAGTGTTTTACACGAACATTCCTATTTCTACACTGCTGTACATATGGTACCATAAACAGCTTTACTTTAGCTTTATGAACTTAATTTTGTATTCATTTCATTCCATTTTCTATTTTAATTTCATCCAATTCATACATACCACAAATCTATTTTTTGATAGAAACTTTTTATCTTCCTAGACATAAAGATAAGTTTTAAAAAAAATTTTGACACAGAATCATTTTTCTCTATTATGTCATATTTTCAAACTATAAGCTAATTTATCAACGCTCAATCTGAATTGGTCAATTCATGACTTTTTTTAAAAAACTGAGAGCTGAAAATTCCAAAAGAATTGTCAGAAAACAATTGGAGACAGTAAGATATTAATTTAATAAAACCAATAGATTACAAATTTAATATCCATATATCACCTATACAGATTCACCTAAACAGAAACAACTTAAACAGCTAAACTGTCTCATTTATGATAACATCTAGTATCACTGTGTCCTCGCCCTTAGCCTGTGCCTCAGTGATTTCCTCAAACTCTGTAATCATATTAATAGCTTAGAGTTTCTGATTTGGTCAAAATAAAGTAGTACCAATAATGGAGATTTATATTAAGAACTTACAATGGACTGCTAATAATCAGAATAATTACAATTTTAAATAAAAATCACACTAACTCCATTACAAATATTATTGGTTCAGGAGCACATATGTTCTGTCTTCAGCCAATTATTCCTTGTGTAGTTAGAAATTCTAGTCTATAATACTGAATATTATTGAATATTGAGTGAATATTGCTACTAATAAGTAGCCAGTGGTGATTTCATCGAGATGTAGGGATGAGTTTGATTTTTTACAGAAGTATAAATAATAATTAAAAGTAAAAGTACCAAACTGTAGCATAAGACATTTAATTATCAAGTTACTTTCAAACTATTCAAAGTGGAGGAAGAGAGTGTAACATTGCTTAAATTTCCTTATAGATTTATACTTTTGCTATCAGAGGCTGGAAATCTGCAGTGGCTTAAGGAAAGCTATCATCTGACCTCAGGTGATATATGAACCTTAAGAGGATAGACAATTTAATTGAAGGTTACATGTAGGCAAGAGACCAAAAATACATACCTAAGCATTCTAAGAAAAAATTTTTCAACAGATTAAAACTATAACCTTTAAATCTGAAACAACAGAATATGGGACATCATATCCATAAGGAGAAAAACTATTGGGAGGGCTTATCCAAGAATAAGGATACTCAGAATCTAATGTTCGTTTTATGCTCTTGTCCTTAGTTTCACACATAAAAAATGTATTAGATTAAGTGCTCTTTCAGCCTGAAAATTTTAATTCTTAAGCCATTTACAAATGGGCATGAGAAATGAAATTAGTCTATAATAAAATAGCTATATTTACTCTTAATCATTTAAGGTACCAAAATATACATAATAAGGCAAAAACTACTGATTCAAAGAATCAGAGATTTTTACTGTTTACATCCTGTGTGTGTATACACACACATATATATACATACACACACACACACACACACACATAAATAAATAAATAAATAAATAAATAAATAAATAAATATTTTCTCTTCAACATGGCAAATGTTCTCAAATCAAACAATAGTGACTCAGGGTTTTTCAAAAATTTACTATGTGCCTAATCTTAAATTTGAGACAGAGTTCAACTGAAGTCAATGAATATGTGAATTTACAGACATATTTCTTAGTAACAAAATTTCACAACTGAAAAAATATTTTAAGACAGTATGAAACAGGACATTGTTAAATGTTTGCTGCCATCTTGTGGCCAAGTTTACTTTATGGCATTTGTTTCATTAGCTGAGGTCCAGCATTATTAGCCAACTTATGGCTAGTTAATTCAATAGATTGTATTTTAAGCAAATTTTTTCATTAACTAAGGTTAGATGGTAGCTTTTTGAAGTCATTACAGATTTCTAACCACTAATATCAAAAGTATAATTCTAATAACAAATCAATGTTGTTAATAAATCTATGTCACTTATGATTTATGATGGAGTCCATATATAATGAAATTAAATTATCTTTTAAAGAACCTGTATTTCACCCAAGAGCTACAAGCTCTTTATACCAAATCTTATTGAAAAGGTGTGTGTGTGAAAAGGAGCTACACATACCTGTTCAGTAAGATTTCAATACAGGCTACCCAACTTCTGGTAAATCACTTAACTTCGATAATTTGAATTTCTCTTCTATCTCCACTTTAATTTGTATACAGTAATTATATATGCTATGTTTATATATTCATAACGGCATTTGATTTTAAGAGGCTAGACAAAGAAAACTGGATTGGCTATTTGCCTGATAGGAAAAGCAACTTCCTACAACTCATCTATTGCTTTCAGTTAGATTAAAACACACACACACACACACACACACACACACACACACACAAAACAACAACAACAAAAACCCAGCAGAAAATAATACCTTCTATTTTACAAACAGCCATGTCAAAGAACATCAATGAAAATCACAGGGGACAAGTCCCAAAAGCCTCACTAAATCCGAAACACAGAAACTATGAGGTTATGAGGGCCTTTCTATAAACTAGCAACTCAAAGAAATGTTACATGTGTATACTTTTAACAAATCTTTTCCAAAACAACTTATTAAACCAGCTCTTTTCAATATACACTAAAACTCTCCTATACTCATAATTAGTAAGTTATTAGAAATGCACAGGTTTAGCTTGAATGCAATGCCATGGAGTTTAATTTTTCATTATAATAGGAGATTAAGAACTTACAGTATCTGCTTTACAAATGGTGTTGGCTACATGTCGACACAGCATCTTTAGCCAGTTTTCTTTTGGAAGTTCCTCTGATGTCATCTGGAAACTGAGCAGCACATTTGCCTGTTCTGTTGGTGGCCTCACCAGCAAGGCAAAAGCATTATGGCAATCTAGGATTCCAGAATCATAAACACAGTTATTCTTGGAAAATGACAGATTTACGCCAGTTTATTTCTTCAGACCAACAATATCCCAATGCAGAAAAACTCTTCACCATCCTTCCCATCCCCTCTATTTTTAATTGGACAAGAGCATCACTGTATTACATTAAAACATTAAAAAGAATTATAACAGTAAGTACCATATGGTGAACCAACAATGATAATTTGATATTACATAAATAATATCTTCCATGACATTTAACATTTTGTATGATGGAGGTTTTAAACAATTAGAATGAACCATTACTTAGAATCCTAAAATTTGAGTTATAAATGACTAAGAATAATTTAAAAATTCAACCTACCTAAAACAATTTGAAAGAAATAAAATGTCCAAATACTAAAACTGCTATAAAAAGTTTTGTGACCAAGATGCAAAACCTATTTTAAACAATGAAGTCTTTATTATTATAATCCAAAAATATGGAAATGATTTCAAATGAATAAATGTACTATACAACCCTTAATAACTCAGAATTTGACAAGTGAGTAAAGATAAGGTACTGTTCAGATTTTCTTTGTTTCTATTAATTCAAAGCCTTCCATCTTTAGAGGACAGGATCGGTAATTGAACCTGCTTATGTTGTAAAAACGTATGCGTAACATCCAAATTACAGCCACGAAGACATATCATTAGGTGCCAGGTAAACAGCTAATACTCTTTGGGGTAAGTATAAACTTTTGGCCATTTTGGACCTTCAAAGAACCCTCCCTAACACCACTAAAGTTAAGAGTAAAAGCTTCCCTTACTGTACATTTAACTCCATGTCAAAACTACCCTAGTTACTTTGGGTGTATTTACTCATGCACATCTATTCCTGGTCATAGCCAAACTGCATCCTTAACTATGCAGCCACAGGCAACAGGAAAGGCATAAGATGCAAAGCACAGGTAACAGACTGGTAATTTCTTTTGGGTTCTGAAGAAATTAAAAGTTTGGTAAGGGAACAGGCTAGGTTAGAATAATATTTTGACATGTAACCAATCATTCAAAGGACGAAGATATTCCTTAAAAGGTTGTATGCCAAAGTGAGATATCATTTTTATTTGAAAAATATCAAAAATCAGGTCAAGTGTCTAGAGATAGAGCTAGGATAGAAGTACAAGAAAAATTACTTTACCAGAACTAACCAATTATATGTAAGGATAATTTAGCACTTAAACATAAAACATCAGTAAATCAAACCTACATGAATAATTCTATTAGCCAATAGTTTATCCAATAAGCATACCTTCAGTCTCTCTTATGTCCAGCACTTTCTTAATTTGAGAAAGAGGCATTAGATGAATATGTTTAAGAGAGGCTGGGGGTCGGGTATGGCCATGAGGACTCCTAAAAGTGCCAATAACCTTGTGGCGTTTCCTTGCTATCTGATTACAGAAGAAAATAAAACATAAATAATATGAATAAAAAGACCAAACACATAAAATATAAAATGGTACTAATCATATAAATCTATTTACAGTTCATCTATTAGTCATTCCAGAATTACTATGTGATAAGAAGTTACGTAAAAAAATTCATACACGTTAACTGTGTAACAGAAAGGCTCATGTTTGTATAGTAAGAGTTCAAAAGTCAGGAAACCAGGCCAATGAAAAGGATCTATGCAAAAAATCCCAGAGGTATGAAAAAACACATAAACACTGTAAGAACTAAGAGAATTAAAGAACTGAGGAATCTTCTTGAGTTCAGGGGAAAAAATAGTTGTCCTGGGGTCTCTGTATTGGCTTCAAAAGATAATTGATATCAGTTTAAGACAAGGATTCAAGATTACCTCAGATCCTGAAAATAAAGGAGTTAAATAACACAGAAATGGTTGTGTCTCTAATATTTTCATACTATTGAGAAAGATGACATGTAAAAGGTAACTGTACAATATACTAAACAAATGACACAAATTATAGGACTTCTGGCCCAGATGGAGGCATAGGTAGACACACTGTGTCTCCTCCCACAGTGAAAATAAGAACAATTTAGAAACAAAATAATAACCAGAACTGACAGAAATTTGAACTGTATGGAAGTCTGAAAACCAAGGAGTTAAAATAGACATATTCATCCAGACCGGTAGGAGGGGAGGAGTTGAGCAGAGAGGGGTCACAGCAAAAAAAAAAGCAGTAGCACCAGGCATGCAAGTCAGCAGTAGGCGGACCCTGGGCATGCAGACAGCAGCTGGCAGAACCTGGGTATGGGGTGGCAACGGGCAGACACAGGGAGGCGGTGATTGTGAAGCCAGGCACAGTGTGAAAGATGGCTGGCTGACCAGGCAGACCCACATTCGCACGCTGATTAACAAGGCAAAACTGGGGTCTGCAAAACTGGCAGACCAAGCAACCCAGGGTCCCAGTGAGGGGAAATAAAGCTTCAAAACACTGATTGAAAATACCTGTGGGGGTTCAGGTGAAGGGACAGATTCTCAGTCTCACTGGAAAGTTCGTTGGAGAGACCCACAGGGTCCTAGAATGTACACAGGCCCACCCACCTGGGAAATGGCACCAAAAAGGCCCAACTTGCTTGTGGGAAGCAGCAGAAGGGACTGAAATCCAAGCGAGAGGAGAACAAGTGCCATTGCTCCCTCTCGGACCCCACCCCTACGAACAGTGTCAAAACACAGCAACTGGGTTGACCTCTCCTGGTGAACACCTAAGGCTCCTCCCCTCACTACATAACAGCTGCAACAAGACCAAAAAAAAAAAAAAAAAAAAAGGCCCAAATGAAACAACAGATCAAATCTCCAGAACAAATACAACTAAGTGACCAAGAGATAGCCAACCTATCAGATACACAGTTCAAAACACTGGTAATCAGGATGCTCACAGAATTGGTTGAATTTGGTCACAAATTTGATGAAAGAGGGAAGGCTACACTAAGTGAAATAAAGGAAAATGCACAGGGAACCAATAGTGCTGGGAAGAAAACCGAGACTCAAATCAATGGAGGGGACCAGATGGAAGAAAGAAACAACCAAAAAGAAAAGAAGGAAGAAACAAGAATTTAAAAAAATGAGGAGAGGCTTAGCAACCTCCAGGACATCTTTCAGCATTCCAACATCCAAATTTTAGGGGTACCAAAAGGGAAAGAAGAAGAGCAACAAGTGGAAAACTTACTTGAACAAATAATAAAGGAGAACTTCCCCAATCTGGCAAAGGCAATAGACTTCCAGGAAGTCCAGGAACCTCACAGAGTTCCAAAGAAGTTGGACCCAAGAAGGCACACACCAAGGTACATCATAATTAACATTAGCAGAGATTAAAATGAAGGAGAGAATCCTAGAAGCAGCAAGACATAAGGGGACAGTCACCTACAAAGGAGTTCCCATCAGACTGTCAGCAGATTTCTCAAAAGAGACCTTGCAGGCAAGAAGGGGGCTGGAAAGAAGTATTCCAAGTCATAAAATCCAAAGACCTACATCCAAGATTGCTCTATCCAGCAAAGCTTTCATTTAGAATGGAAAGGCAGATAAAGTACTTCTCAGACAAGGTCAAGTTCAAGGAGTTCATCATCACCAAGCCCTTATTTTATGAAATGCTAAAGGGACTTATCTAAGCAAAAGAAGATAAAAAACATGTATAGTAAAATGAGAGCAAACTCACAGTTATTAAGAACCACACCTAAAACAAAAGCAAAAGCAAAAGCAAAAGCAAACTAAGCAAACAACTAGAACAGGAACAGAACCACAGAAATGGAGATCACATGGAGGGTTAGCAACAGGGGTATGAAGAGGAGGAGAGAGGGGGGAAAGGTACAGAGAATAAGGAGCATAGATGGTAGGTAGAAAATAGTGGGAGAGAAAGAATAGTATGGGAAATGTAGAAGCTAAAGAACTTATGACACATGGACATGAACTAAAGGGGGGGAATGTGAGTTGGAGGGGGTGTGCAGGGTGGAGGGTGATGAAAGGGGGAAATGGGACAAGTGTAATAGCATAATCAATAAAATATTAAAAATATTTTTAATGATACAAATTATAAATTCAAGGTGCTGTGCTAAAATATAATTTTACCTATACTGTGGATTCATGCAAAAGGAAAGGATAGGCAAAGGAACACTAGAAAAGCCAGAAGCAAAATCAGAGATCCCTATGATTCATGATAGACTTGAGTTCTGTGAATTCTGTAAGATCTCTGAAGTTATTGTTTTCATTTCCACAAAAGCCTGTTATGTTATTTAGCTTTCTTAAAAGAACATGACTTTTGAAACTATAATCAACTGAAAGACATTCACAAAAAATAATTTTGACTGAGCGACATAATGAATTGAGATTAATTGGTCATCATTATGAATATGATAAAGTGTGGCTGAAAAGTATACCTACCTGTGTTGGCTAATTAGAAAAGGCCAACAGTACCACACTCACACCGAAGCAGACCTATGACACAGATCTATGTTGTACAGCTAATATTAAACATTCACTTACATTAACAGAATGGAAATAAGCAATAAGCACTCTAAATATCTTCACTAGTATTTTACATACTTTGTGTCAAGTTAAAAAAACAAAAGTAAAATATAAAAGAAAAACATGCTCGAATACTAAATTATGGTTTAGTATTCTGAAATACTAAATCAAAACACAAGTAAAATATAGTAAGAAAAATATATTTTCAAATACTAAATTATTTTAAAATAAAATTGAGTATTTAATACTAAATACTCAAATATATTCTCAAATACAAATAATAATAAAAATTACTATTTTTAAATTAATTAAAAACATCATCTGCTATATTTAAGAGAACTCATTATAGATTTTACCATACTCTTCATTTCCAATTTGCCTAGAAGCGTGGGTTTTATGTTTGTTTGGGGTTTTTTTATTTAGATATATAAACTAAAGAATAAGAGTTTAGGATTATAAATCTTTAATTCCAAATTTAATGTTAAAAACAGAGCTGTTTCAGTTACTTAGATTGTGAGAGAGAGTAGAACAAAAAGTCACTGGCAAATGAAATGAGAGGCCAGAGTATCACATAATCGACTGAAAGCTACAGGGAATAACAAATGGCAGGAATTAAAATGGAAGGTAAGTCAGTGAGCCAGTTACAGAAGGCTTCATGGAATTTGAAGGGGATGAAGGATCAAAAATTTAAAGTTGGCCACAACTCGCTCAAGATTGAGAGGATAAAAACCAGAACAGATTAGCAGTGAAGTACATATAACCTAACCAATTAGATGAATATAGCCAGTTGACCTAGGGACTTCAACAGGAAAAACATAAAAGAGCTTTAATAGAAGCTAACAAATAGAAGTACTGACGAACTATGGACAGACCGACCCCATGACAATGCAAACTAGAGTCTGATTCATAATTGACTCCACCTAGCTCCTTTTCTCAAAAGCAGAGCAGCCTAAATTTCTTATTATAGAACAGACAAGAAGTCCTGCATTACCTGCCTCATGATTTCTTATAACTTTCTTGGTTCTGGGTATGCTCAATTATGTACAGTATTTTCAGTGTCTTTACTTTTGTGTGCTGTAACATTTCTGAACAAATTAAAATATTATTTTTGACTAACCTCACAATAAAAAAAACTCTGCATTTAACACAAGCAAACTTTTGGTGACTGGGCATGATTTACTCTCTAAGATTCCATTGTATTTTATATTAATATACATGATACAAGAGCACAACACTAGAAAACAAGTAGAAAAGAAAAAAAGAGGTATAGTCTTTTTAAAAGAATAATCACTGCATTGTCAGAATAATATTACCTTGCTTTTTTTCATGTAATTTAGAAAATAAGCTTTTTATTCGAACAAAACTGAAACACTAATTTGAGAGAATACATGCACCCCTATGTTCACTGTAACATTATTTACAATAGCCAAGATACAGAAGAAACCCAAGTATCCATCGGTAGAGTGGATTTTAAAAGCTGTGGTACATTTACACAGTGGAATACTACTCAACCATAAAAAGGAAATCTTTCCATTTACAACAAGCATGGATGAACCTGGAGAGCATTACGCTAAGTGAATAATAAGCCAGTCAGAGAAAGACAAGTACCATATGATTTCATTTAATGTGCAATCTGATAAACAAATCAACTAACGAGCAAGACTAATAAAGAGCAGGATGACGGCTGGAGTGGAGAAAGGGCAGGACCGAGTGCAGGGGTGGAGAGATTGAGCAAAATAAGAAAAGAAAAAAGAAAAAGAAAAAGAAAAAACCTCATGGACCACAACCAACAAAGTGGTGACTGTTGGGGGGAGGGGTGGGAAGAGGTAGAGGAGGGCATAGGGAGGGTAAACAGTAGCAGATGGAGACTAAGGGTGTGGACACATGATACAGTCCAGAGATGATATGTTGTAGAATTGTGCATCTCGTGAATTCAATAAATAGAGAGAGAGAGAGAGAGAGAAATAGGAAGTCCATCAAATCTCTGTAATGAAAACAACGAAACTACCCAATAACAGAAATGTCAAACAGGTTTTCTGGTTAATATCCATGTTATCAAAATGAACAGCTTTATCTCCTGAGATGAAGGATAATACACTCCTTTATATACCCCATCGGGCTCTTTAGTACGTAAAAATATACTATTAACAGAATAGTATATTTTTCTGAAAGAGTTGAAAAAGCATACAAACATAATTAAGTTTGCTTGTAAAAATAATATGGAGGAAAAAGTTAACTTAAATGAGAATTTTAGAATTAGAATCATTGCATGCCATCTTATATACTGACCACTCACACACTCTAAACCCTGATGACTTATGAAGAATCAGGGAATCACAGTCCATGATATTAAATAATCAAGCTATCTCTCTTTTCAAGAAAATACTGACTTCTTTGCTGAAAAACACATAAACTTCAAAGTAAACTCATAATTATTTTGTACATCGTTTATAAATATACATAGAAATAAGAAGTTCTTAAAATTCTTGACTTATTTATTTTTATGACAATAAGCTAAATTTGCATTCTGACTTAAATTTGAAGTCATGAAAATGTATGATATTTCTTATTAGGTCTTCTAAAAGCATTCCATTAATCAACAGTTCATCTTAATCAAAAAGGGTGATTATTTAAGTTCACTTACTTTAAACTTATATTTAATACTTTAATCAAAGCTTGGTTTTAAACATTCAGGGAAGTCACCCAAATCAGCAGTGTTAATATTATATTAAGTACAAGTTTACCTCCAGGCAATCGTTGAAGAGGAAGAGAGTTACTTGTTCTCCTCTGTCACAGGGGTGCTCACCTAGAGAAATTGTTTCAACTCGCTGGACTAAGCTTCGGTGAGAAGATAAAAGATTAGCCTGTACAGATTGAAAATATTAATAGATCACTTGAGAGGAAGGAATTTTTTTTTAATTATAATTTAAAAGAAAGTGGTGCCAAGATTCACTTATATTAAAATTGTAGAATCTAAATAACAAGAAAAAAAGTGACAGTCATCAAAAATGAATACTTACTGGGCATCCATCTACTTCATAAACAACATCAAAAATTTGCTTTTGAGCTTCAGTTTTTCTCTTATCCTCATTAATATGTCTGAAAAATCGATAAGGTTATTTTTAAAACTTTAACTTTTAAAACAACAATATAGAAACCGCATACAAATACTTCTCATGTTACAATAAAACTCCTTCCAGTAAGTTTAATTCTAATTAACTGAATCAGTTTAAATGTCCCGTAAAAGAATCTATTACACTTAAAAAAATTCCATAGACCCTTCAGAAAAGTATTGTTTGCCATACTCCCCAATATGTTTTTATAAAACTATACTCAGTACACACTTCCTAAAATGCATTACAGTCGTCCCTTGTATATCACAGTTCACTTATTGCAGCTTCACTATATCGCAGGCTTTTTAAAGTGAAGCCGCAATAAGTGAACCGCGATATAGCGAGGGACAACTGTATACTTCACTGGTGAGTACCCATATAGAATTTTATGTTGTTAAAATTACGTAGGTTTAAGAGTGAAGAAAGTGTTTAAGAGCATATGAAGTATTTGTAAGAGTGTGGGAAAGGTTAATAAGAGAGTGGGAAAGGTTTACAGGAGTGTGGGGAGGGTTTATAAAGCCTTCAAATATATATAAATAAGAAAATATGCTGCTACTTCACAGATTTTCACTTATTGTGGGGGTCTCTGGAACATAACTCCCACGATAGGTGAGAGATCACTGGATAGCCACATAATCTTCACTTTAACAGTTTTAAGTTCAGTTAAGATTTTATTAAAGTTATTCCCAGGTCATACACTAATTATTTCATTGAAACAAAAACTAAGACCACAGCTTCCAGAAAAGATGAAATAAGAAAAGCATGTACTGTATTTCACCATGTATAATGTACACTTTTTTACCCATACTTTTGAGGGAAAAATAAGGATGTGCATTATGATGGGTATAATTATCCCGTGTATAATGTGCACAAAAAACATGGGTGCACATTACGCATGGCTATATATGATACCCTTCTGCCTGAAACAACCAAAAAACCATCAAAATATAAAGAAAAAGGTTTCTCAAGACACAGAAAGTCAATTCCTATGTGACAGGAAACAAGGCAAGTTGGCCAACTAAGTGCTGTCTATAAGAGACGTATTTAAATTCAAAGACAATAAGATGCAAATAAAATGATGGAAATACAACACCCAACAATAGCGAAATGTACTTTCTTCTCATGTGTGCATGGAACAGTTTCCAGCTCAGGCCATAAAATAAGCCTCAAAAAAATTTAAAGGACTGAAATAATATAAACTATGTTCTCTGAAAACAATGGAAAGAAATTAGAAATTAAAAAGGAAACTTTGGAAATTCACAAATGTGTGAAAATTAAATAACACATCCCTAAGTAATCAATGAATCAAGAAATCATGAGGGAAATTAGAAAACAGATAAATAAAAACAAAATATAGCATACCAAAATTTATGGGATACATATAAAGAAATACTTAAAAAATTTTATACCTATAAGTGCATATAATAATTTAAAAAATTAAATAAATAACCTAACTTTCCATTTGAAGAAACTGAGGGAGAAGAAAGAGCAAACTAAATCTAAAGCAAGCAGAAGAAAGGAAGACATAAAAATTAGAGTGGAAATTAATGAAATAGAGAACACAAAAGTAATAGAAAAAAATTGACAAAACTAAAAAATGGTTCTTTGAAAAGATCAATAAAACTGACAAACATTTAGCTAAGCTGACCAAGAAAATAAAAAAAAAAAGAGAAAAAGACTCAAATTACGAAAATCAGGAATAAAATGCAGGACATCACTACTGACCTTACAGAAATTAAAAGGATTATAAAACACAGTGAATAACTAATTAAATAGCTGAGATGTAATCGACAAATTTCTAGAAAGACACAAAGTATAGAAACTGATTCGAGAAGAAATACAAAATCTGAAGAGACCTATAACAACAAATTTAATTAGTAATTTTAAACTTCTTGCAATAAAAAGCTTAGGCCCAAAAATACTTCATTTATGAAATTCTACCAAAGACCTAAAAAATTCATACCAATTCCTCAAAAAATTAGAAGAGGCAGAAATACCAAGTTCTTCTGCAAAACCAGAATTAGCCTGGTACCAAAGCCAAAGACATTACAAGAAAACTATATACCAATATCCTTTATGAATACAAACACCAAAATCCTCAACAAAATACTAGCAAACCAAATCCAACAACATATTAAAATGGATTAAACACCATGGCCAAGTGAGATTTTTATCCTAGAAATACAGACTTGAGTTAACAATCAAAAAGCAATTGATACCCCAGCTGGTGTGGCTCAGCAGACTGAGTGCCAGCCTGCAAACTGAAAAGCTGCCAGTTCAGTTCCCAGGCATGGCACATGCCAAGATTATGGGATAGGTCCCCAGCTGGGGGCGTAGGAGAGGCAACCAATAAATCTATCTGTCACACATCAATATTTCTCTCCCTATCTTTCCCCTTTCCTTCCCCTTTCTCTAAAAATAAATAAATAAAATCTTTTAAAATTTTAAAAAAAATCAATGAATGCAATACACCATTCCAACAGAATAAAGGACAAAAACCACATGACCACCTCAATAGATGCAAAAAAGTGTCTGATAAAACACTCAACAAACTAGGAATAAATGAGGACTTTCTTAACCTAATAAAGGGAATCTATAAAAATCCCACAGGTAGTATCATACTTAGTTGAAAAAGACTGAAAACTTTCCCCGCTAAAACCAGCAATTGTTGATATTCACTCTCACAGCTCCTGTTTAACATTGTTCTAGAGCCTCAGACCAGGGCAATTAGGAAGAAAACAAAATAAAAGGCATCCTGACTGGAAAAAGAGAATGAAAACTATATGTATTTGCAGCTAATAGAATTATGTTTACTGTAAGTCCCAAAGAGTTCTCTAAAGAAAAAAGAAAAAAAACTTAGAACGAAAACAAGTTCAGCAAGCTTACAGAGTAGAAAACCAATATATATATATATAATTCTATTGTCTTTCAACACACTAACAGTGAACACTACAATAAGGAAATTAAGAAAACATTTCCACTTACTATAGCATCAAAAAGAATAAACTATTAGGAATAAGTTTAATAAAACAAGTATGAAACTCATACTCTGAAAACTATAAAACGAAGTTGAAATAAATTAAAGAACTAAATATATGAAAATAAATGTTCACAGATCAGAAAACTTACTATTGGTATGATGACAATACTCCCCAAATTGAAGTACAGATTACACAAAATCCCTGTCGAACTCCCCACTATTCTTCCCCACCTCCAGAAATTGACTGGCTGAATCTAAAAGCAAAATGCAAATGCAAGGGATCGAAAATAGTCAAACTTCCAGAAAAGGAGGAACAAATTGGGAGGACTCACACTTCCCAATTTCAAAACTGAAATTATAAAGCACTGAAATTATAAAGTAATCAAAACTGTGTGCTACTAGCATAATCACAGACATACAGATACATGAAATAGAATTAAGAATCTAAGAATTTATGGTCAGCTGATTTTCAACAAAAGTGCAAAACTAATTCAGTGGGAAAAGTTGGTCTTTTCATCAAAGAGTGATAAAACAAATTTCCACTAAAAAAAAAAAATTGACCTACATATACCTTAATCTTATACCAAAACAAAACAAAAAAACCCTAAAAATGAATACTGGACCTATGATTTTCATCTAATAATTAAAAATACAAAGCTTCTTAATGGAAACAGGTCATCATGATGACATTGGGTTAGACCAAGATCAATATGTCTTAGATAAATTTACAAAATTACCACCCACGAGGGAAAAAACTAATAAATTAGATTCCATAAAAATCTAGAACTCCCAGCCCTGGCTGTCATAGCTCAGTGGATTGAGCGGGGGCCTGTGAACTATAGGATGGAGGTTCGATTCTCAGTCAGGGCACACGCCTGGGTTGCAGAACAGTTCCCAGCAAGGGACGCACAAGAGGCAACCATACATTGATATTTCTCTCCCTCTCTCCTTCCCTTCCCCTCTAAAAATAAATAAATAAAATCTTTAAAAAAAATCTAGAATTCGCATTTTTCAAAGGAAATGTTAAAAAAATAAAAACGAACCACAGACTACAAGAAAATATTTGCAAATCACATTTCAAAGCCTTTTTTTAAACAACTTTTTTTAAAAAAATGTTTTTTTTAAAGAACTCTAAAATAAGAACCCAAATTTTAAAAAGCAGATAAGAGATTTGGACATACATGTACATATCACAAAGAAGATAACATGGATGGCGAGTAAGCACATGAAAAAATGCTAACCATCATTTGTCACTAGGGAAAACTACAATGCAAGTCAAAACTACAATGAGATACACCACTACACATCCATTAGAATTTCACAAATTAAAATGAATGACCATACTTAGAGTTTGTAAGAACATGGAGCCACGGGTAGCCAGGTACTTAACATACAATGTTGATGGGGATGCAAAATAACACAACCACTTTGGAAACAGTACAGTAAATTTGTAAACACTTTGCATGACCTAGCCATTTTTACTCCTAGGTATTTACCCAGGAGAAATGAAAGTATATGTCCATACAAAGATTTATTCACCAATGTTCACAGCAGCTTTATTTGTAATAGCCAGACACTGAAAGCAATCAAAACATTCGCCAACATATGAATGGATAAATGTGGCTATTTCCATACAATGGAAAACAGTAAAAGAGAATGAACTGTTGGTACAAGCAACAATAAGGACTAATCTTGGAATAAATATGCAAAGTTAAAAAAAAAAAGCCTGACAAAAGATAATATACTGTTTGATTTAATTTAGATAAAATCCTAGAAAATGCAAATTATACTGTTTAAAACAGAAAAAAGCAACTGTTGCTTTAGGATAGTCTAAAGAGGGTGAAGCAGGAAAAGTGATACCAAAGGCTATTCATAAACTTTTTTAAAATTTATTTATTTATTTAACTTTACAGGGGAAGGAACAAAGAGGGAAAGAAATATCAATATATGTTTGCCCCTCATACATCCCCTGCTGGGAACTGGCCTGGCAACCCAGGCATGTGCCCTGACTGAGAATCGAACCACGATCATCTGGTTCACAGGCCCCTGCTCAATCCACTGAGCTACACCATCCAGGGCACTATTCATAAACTTTACGGTAGCAGAAATGTTCCTTATCTTGACAGTGGTGATGGTATTGTGGGAGCATATGTATGCTAAAGTTAGTCAAAATATATTTTAAACATGTGTAGTTAACATACTAAAACTATTGAAACATAAGTCTATAATAAATTAATGTTTATAAATTGAGTATATGTAATTAATGGTGTTAGTAAATAAAATATTTTTTAAAAAAATGCCCTGGCTGGTGTAGCTCAGTGGATTGAGCACGGGCCTGTGAACCAGAGGATCGCGGTTCGATTCCCAGTCAGGGCACATGCCTGGGTTGCAGACAGGTTCCCTGCAGGTCAGTTCCCTGCAGGGGATGCACTAGAGGCAACCATACATTGATGTTTCTCTCCCTCTCTCCTTCCCCTCTAAAGAGAAATAAATAAAATGTTTAAAAAAAATGGTGTTAGAATCCAATGGGGGGGGATGGTTTTGCTTAAATAAAAGAGCAAGGACTATTCAATTGGTACTGTCCTGTTAGTTCCTTTATGTAACAGATTATAGTTGTTCCAATCAACCACAGTAAGCATTTACTCCCTATGCCTAGTTCAAGAATCTCAAGAATTCAGATATGGTCAAATTCTGTAAGATTTATACATCAGCATCACAATTCAACATTAAAATAGCAGTTTCTATAATTTGACATCTATTAAAAATCTACAAGCAAGTCATTTAGGATAGAGATATATCAGAAAGATTTGTATGGTCTCAAAATGCTTAATAATGTTGAAAAGAAGGAATTTTTAATCATCCATCTTATGAATTTGGCTCATTATCCCTAGAATCATCCACTTGACACTAAAGGCAGCAACAGGTCTAATGAGTAGTCTATTCCCTAATTAGGTTACTTTATAACCTGTGTTTACCAAAATCTATTATATATAAATAACAAATGGCATGTGCTATTATCAAAATAAAAATGGTAGAGTATGATACACACTAAACAGAAAAATTGGGCAAGTAAAAACCTCTCAGCTTTTCTCTTTTGTGAAAATATGTTAACAATGACTGCCTACTTCAAACAGTTTGTTGACAGAATCAAAGTAGGTAGTGTCAGAGTCTGTTAAAGCATGAAGTGTTGAAAAAACTATTATCCTGGCCCCAAAATACATCAAAAGACTGGCTGATGAACACATAAATACTAAATAAGCAAAAAACAAAACATGCATAGAACTGTCAGCAGTAAGAAAAACTGGCGTTCACTAATTCGAGTGTCACTTTACTGCTGGGCCCTCATCCTGCAGCCAGTCAAGTTCCTTGCTAACAGTTCCTTTGCAAATATTTAAAGAAATATTTCATATTGACGCACCTCAAAGAATCTCAGAAATCATTCTTTTAAATCTGTTAAATATGTTGATACATAAAGTCCTAAGAAATGAAGTGTTCTTGCCCTCTATGAGACAAAACAATACCAACATTGTTCTCAATTCTCATCATAATAGTCAAAAAAGATAATTTCTGATCAGAACTATGCCTACAAGTTTATAACAATCAAGGCCCCAAATCAATTTTATTGAGTTTATGCCTTTCTTACATCTCCAACCAACCCCAACAATTTAATCCCTTAAAATTCAAGGTAACAGACAAAAAACTAAAAGTAAAGTGAAGAGAGCATTATAAACCTTTTATTTTTATTTCACTACTGTCAAATTCCCAAGATAAATAAATGTGGGCAGTTTATATGAAGATAAAAATAAACTATGACTAAAGACATTGAGACAAAGTGGTCTATTAGTAAATTATAACATTTTCAATTTTGTAAACCATTGCTATTCTCTATGCATAATAGCTTAATAGTTTAAAAAATAAATGTTTTTGATTAATCAATATTTTCTTATAATACTATCATTTTAATGTGTAACTACACTATTAGAAAAATAGCTTCAACATTTTACAAATATTTGTTGACATATTTCTCTCCATTTATGACTCTAATTATTCTATCTATTCCATTTAAATCCAAGGAAGAATTAAAAATTAAAAAAATGCACTTACGTCATTACTTCCCTTAGTGATTCAATAGCATTTTCTAGAGTGCTTTTGTCAGGATTTTCCTCAGCTGTATGCTTCTTAAGGTCTGTAATGATAAAATGTTTTTCTCCATGATTAACAAAAATTCAGTGGTTTTTCCCTCTAAGATTTAAAAATGCTGTATAGCCTACAGCCATACCACCCTGAACATGCCTGACTGCCTCTGAAAAATGCTGTCAAGGATAGTATAAGGTGTTCTCTGAGACATCTCCATATGTGTCAGCATCTGAATCATAGGGATGCCAGAACAAGAAGAACAGCAAGATGGAAAACCTATTTGAAAAAATAATGGAAGAAAATTTCCCTAATTTGATAAAGGAAATGGATATACAAGTCCAGAAAGCATAGGAAGTCCCAAAGATACTGGACCCAAAGAGGACCACACCAAGATACATTATAATTAAAATGCCAAAGGTTAAAGATCAAGAGAGAGCCCTGGCTGGTATAGCTCAGTGGATTGAGCACGGACTGTGAACGAAAGGGTTGCCAGGTTGATTCCCAGTCAGGACATACACCTGGGTTGCAGGCCAGGTCCCCAGAGGGGGCCACATGAGAGTCAACCACACATTAATGTTTCTTTCCCTCTCTCTGAAAATAAAGATAAAATCTAAAAAAAAAAAAAAAGGGATCAAGAGAGAATCTGAAAAGCCACAAGAGAAAAGCAAAGTTACCTATAAAAGAGTTCCTAGAGGATTGTCAGCTGATTTCTCAAAAGAAACTTTACAGGCAAAAAGGGATTAGCAAGAAGTATTCAAACTGTGGAAAAGCAAGGACCTACATCCAAGATTACTCTATCCAGCAAAGCTATCATTTAGAATGGAAGAGCAGATAAAGTGCTTCCCAGATAAGGTGAAGTTAAAGGAGTTCATCATCACCAAGCCATTATTATAGGAAATGAAAAGGAACATGATCAAAGCTATGAACATTAAAATGATAACAAATTCACAACTGTCAACAACTGAATCTAAAACAACAAATTAAGCAAACAAGCAGAACAGGAACAGAAGCACAGATATAGAGATCATTTGGAGGGTTATCAGCTGGGAAGGGGGAGAAGAGGGGAAGAGTTGCAGGGATTAAGCAGCATAATGGTGGGTACAAAACAGACAGGGAGATGTTAAGAACAGTACAGGAAACTGAGTAGCTAAAGAACTTATATGCATGAACCATGGTCATGAACTAAGGGGGAATGGGCTTTGCATATGGGAATGGGGGTACTAGGCAGATGAGGTCAAAGGGGGAAAAATTAGGACAAGTGTAACAGCAAAATCAATACAATATATTCAAAAAAAGAAGAGTAGAAAATCATTATATCAGCTAATGATTCTAAACTACATTACATAAACTTAAAGAGAACAAAAATTTTCAATTTTTAAGCTACTACTATAATTTGTTAACCCAAATATTTTAAGAAAGTAGACTAAAAACATATTAAACAGTTACAAATTTATCCTCCTTGTTAGCTATATACCCTACTGTAGATAAGGTTTGAGAATCAAAATGCATTATTGCAGACTTATTCCTGTAATTTAGTTTTCACACTTGAATTTTTAAAATAATATAAAAACTGACACTATCCTAAACATGATCACTTCCTCACTCAGCTAAATTTATAGATATGCCTGCCTTCTACTGCAGGCAAAATGTATTCATAAAAATTAACCCCCTGCTGTAAAACTCCTTTGCATTGGTATCTGTAGTTTAACTCCTAAAATAAATGAATGAATGTTTCAAGAGTGTTCTGCACAATTCAAGAAAAAAAAAGTAAGTATAAGACCAAGTATACAAAATTTTACTATGATTTGAAAAAAAAATAACTTGAGACACATGAATCACCTCTTGCCTTGTGATTTTTTAGGGTGAGTGGTATGTTTACATAAGTATAAAATGATTTTTAAGTAAGTGATAAACCATGAAATGTAAGGAGACTTTTAGTGGAGAGATAAAATGTGAAATAGTAGTCAATATAATCAATATGAGAAAAAATAAAGCATTTTAAGCCAGACTAAGTTTTTGTAACGCAAGTAATTAAGATTATACATAAAGATGTTATCTATGTAAAAGATATAAACTTTAAATGCTGAAATCTAAGAAAACTATGAAAACAAAAAAAGTTTCCAATTTTTTAGAACAAAACCTTTCCATTAAATCACCCAAAGTGCTCTGAAAAACGAATAGGTAAGTACCATTCAGAAGTAACGCAACACTGGGTAACCTCTGTACTGGTCGGATGAGGAGTTCAACAAGGCTTTGCCGTCCGCACTCTGGTTTAGCTTGGTTTATCTGAAAGAAATTAATTTATTCAACAATTTTTAACAAATGTTTTCTACAAACACTAGACACCCTACATGTATCAGATTATACCTAATCATCAGTACCCTGATGACTAATTGCAGAGGTGAGGTGGCAACTGTTAGTTCCGTGGCAGATTAATGTGGCCTAAAAATCTTCTAAGGCCTGAAATGACCTCCTGGCCAGCCAAGCTTTAACATCTTAACCAGAGAGTGAGTTCCTCTACACACTACTATGTATTTCATCGTAAACTACTCTTAAATCTGTATCATTTACGAGAAAAAATGTTTTAAAATATTAATTATGCTATCCTGACTGATGTAGTTCAGTGGATTAGGTGTTGTCCCCAAAACTGAAAAGTCTCCAGATCAGTTCCTGGACAGGGCACATGCCTGGATAGCAGGCCAGGTGCCCAGTTGGGGGCGTTCAAGAGCCAACCAATGTTTCTCTCACACATCAATGTTTCTCTCTTTTTTCTTCCTCCCTTCCCCTCTCTCTAAAGATAAATAAAATCTTTTTAAAAATATTAATTATGCTGACACTATTGGATAAAGAAAGTAAAGCATTGATAAGGAGGGATATATCACTAAAGGCAAACAAAATTGCCCCAGAATTTTTTTAGGTGTTTGAGAACTAAAACATGAATAACTTAAAAAATAATAATAATAACCGTATACATTCTCATTCATTCAGCTGACTCTTGGACCGTGCTACCTACTATGTCAAATCTTCAGAAGCTAAACATCACTGCCACTCTCAGGTATAGCTAAAGTTAACAGATAACATCAAGGTGGTCTTACATGAATACATTTTTACTAAAAGCATAATTTTAATAAATTCTTTAGATATTACTCTCAGATTTTTATTTGAAAAAATGTGTATTACCTTCAGAAAAGCATGAAATCTTGGTTTTTGTTTTTCACATTTAATAATTGTTTCCTTGCTCATTTCAAAGAAGTTTACAAAGGGAGGGTAGGTTTTTACCAAATCTTTTGACTAGGAAAAAGGGAAAAAAGATTAATTTGTAATGTATTTCACCCTTAGACAATGGAACTTAAAATCACTAATCAAATCTGACATAACTGAAAGCAAGTCTTAAGTTTCTTCTCATGTTAAATAAAAAAATTATTTTATAAACGTCTCACTAATGAGTGAGTTAACTGCCAAAGAAAATGCATCAACTGGCACATATAGACTAGAACCTGAAAAATAAACAAAGACCAGCAAGAAACAAAAGTATATTAAGGCTTATTGTACTGATATAAGTAATACAAGTTTAAAAACTCCTATAAATTAATTAACAACAAAGAAACCAAGAACATATAATGGAGGAGTATCTACAATAAATGGTGTTTGAAAAACTTGACAGCCCTACACAGAAGAACAAAGCTAGACCACCATATTACGCTATTCACAAAAATTAACTCGAAATAGGTTAAAGACCACAATGTAAAACCTGCAACTATAAAATTCCTAGAAGAAAACACGGGAGGTTAAGCTCTTTAACACGCATCTTTGAAATGTTTTTCAGGATCTGACTCTAAAGGAAGGGAAACAAAGCAAAATGAACTGGGATTACATCCAACTAAAAAGCTTCTGCACAGTGAAGGAAATCATCATCAAATGGAAAAGGCAACTACCAAATGGGAGAAGATAGTTGCCAATCATACATCCAGTAAGGGCATAATATCCAAAATATATAAAGAAATATAAAATTCAATAACAAGCACCTGATTTAAAAAAGGACAGGAAAATCTGAATAGACATTTTCCCAAAGAGGATATACAAATGGCCAACAGGCACATGAAAAGATGCTCAATATCACTAAATATGAAAAAAAGTGAGAAATAAAGCCACAAGGAGATATTAACTCACACCTGTTAGAATAACTATTATCAAAAGTATGAGAAATAACAAGTGTTGGAAAGATGTGGAGAAAAGGGAACCCTGTATACTGTTGGCAGGACTGTTAAGTGGTACAGCCACTATAGAAAACAGTATAGAGAGTCTTCAAAAAACTAAGAATAGAACTACCATATGATCCAGGAATTCCAATTCTGGGTATTTATCCAAAAAACCCAAAAGCACTAATTTAAAAGATATTTGCATCCCTACATTCACTGCAGCATTACTTACAATAGTTAAGATGTAGAAACAATCAACGGATGTAAGTGTCCATCGATGGATGAATGGATAAAGGTGTGGTTTTATGTATACACACACACACACACAGAGAAATATTTAGCCATAAAAATATTAAATCTTACCGTTTATAACAATATGGGTAAAATTTGAGAGTATATCACTAAGTGAAATAAGTCAGAAAGAGAAAGACAAATACCATATAATTTTACTCATATGTGGAATATTTAAAAAATTAAGAGAAATAAACAAAACAAAAACGAAATCATAGATACAGAGAATAGATCAATGGAAGGGGGTTCAGAGTGAGTAAGCAAAAGGAAGGAAGGAGTCAATGGCATGTTGATATATAACAGCTAAACTTTTGGTCATCACTTTGTAACTGTATATAGATGCTGAATTATAATGTTTATACCTGAAACTTGAATAACAAAAAAAGTTTGTAAATTCAGAATTTAGTAATTAGAATTAATCTATTAATCTATGCTCCAAAAGAGCACGCTATTATTTTGAAGGATCCAAACCATCATTAAAAGATTAATTATATTACCCAAAAATGCAAACAAGAAAATGAACACTGTCTTGGCTAATTGAGAAGACTAACAGGTATCAAAAAGATGTGTGAGAACAATTTGCATATTTATAATTCACAACCAGAAAAAATTATATATAAAAACATATACTGTATATAGAAGTTAGAAGGCCTCAGAAAACAAAAGCAAATGTGCCAGAACCCAAGGCACTGAAACTTATAAATCATATTTTAAAAAGACTGAAATAAATTTATAATTCCTATTCATAGAACCTCATTCAAAATAAACTTACTTTATTTCAAAACTTAAGCTATGTTGTTCTTATACTAAAGAGAAGCAGTTCATTAGAAGCTTTTATGAAGAGTAGCTACAATGACAATAAAAAGGAGTATCAACTAAGGAAAAGTAGAAAATTTCAAAAAAAAATCATTAATCTATGGCCATTTGTGAAGGGCAAATAATAATACATAGTAAAACAATAATAGTACAGTATAACAATTACTCTTCTTAATGATGACCTTGAGCTATTGAAAGAGTTAAATTTTATTTTTTAAATATAATGATGTCAAGGTTATAAAAGCTCTCACATTTAAACTGGTAACTTTCATTTCCTGTCAATCCTTTATGATACAATACTTTAATCTGAAAACTTAAAAAAAATACTTACATATTTAAGAAAGATATCACCAATGCTTTTGCTCTCATCCCAATTAACAATAAGATCTTCAAGATCATCCTGAAAGAGCATAAATTAAATCATTTAAGACTGAACTTAACAATCCCTTAAACATGTTTTATTATTTTTCAAGATATTCTTTTCAAGTACCTTACATAGTGTCTTAATTTGATGTGCAAACAGTAACACAGTCTTTCTCCTTAACAAGGAATTAACTTGAGAAAAACACCCTTTGAAAAAGTCATTAAGAAAACACAGAGTAGCCCTGGCCTGGTAGCTCAGCTGGTTAGAGCCCTGTCCCATACACCAAAGTTGTGGTTTTGATGCCCAGTCAGAGCACATACAAGAATCAACCAATGAAAAATGCATTATGCGTAGAACAACAAAAATCAATGTTTCTCACCCCCGCCTATCTCTCAAATAAATAAAAACAGCAATATAGAGTATCAAGTCACTAAGAGTAAGCCTAACTTTTCATTATGATGTGACCGTTCAACATCTTTTATTAACTATAAAGCTGACTGGCATTATTTATTATAGAGACTACTTTCATTCCTGCTGCTCAAGAACCACACAGAAAAAAAAAGAGAGAAAATAAAGATGCTACTTATAAGAGTTCAGCCAATCCTGCCCAAAACTTTACAATGAAAGAGTCGTACATAAAAATCATGGCTCCTTCATTTAAAAAAAAATTAAAAAGAACAGCATTGTCTTACATGATTTTAGCACTTAATCTAATTATAGAGAACTGAATGAAATGAACTCTAAGTCCCTTTCAGCTTCACAGATTTTCAAACAAACCAAAGCAAAACCAAAATTCTAAAACCCCAGAAGAAGAACAGTAGAAAAATAGCACTAGCAACCACATGGCCCTAGGAGAAAACTTTGTAAGGTCTTAATTCCTTATTTTCAGGATTAATGGAAATTAAAAAACAACAAGCAAACAACATTAACAATGCACTAGAGCAAAAGACAAATCAGAAGCTTTAGATACAAAATTTATTTAGCTAAGCAGAAGGACATGAAAAAATCTTAATAAACATACACAATTGAAAATTAATTACTATGAACCTAATGTATACAAATTTACCTTTATCTTACTGTGCACATCAAAGATATCTGGTATACTCCCAAAAATAGTCTTAATCTCTTCCGGTGCAAGGATAGGCCCACCACGTTGTCCTTCTTCTTCTAATGGTACCTGAAATAACTAAAAGGTGGAAGGCGGGGAGGATGGTAAAAAACACAATCTAGTTTAGGTAGACTGCATGTTGGGGAGAGTGGGGAAGCTAACACACAGACTGATAAAGAGAAGATGAGATGTTAATAAAAAAATATTTTTAAATACTTCTCTTTCACGATTTGAGATCTTTTTTCCAACATTTTCTATTAATTTATATATCTGTATATATGTGTAAATATACTCTTGCAATAAAATGTTATGTCAGAACCTAATCAAAATTTATCACACAGTTCTACAATCATTAAAATTGTTAGTACAAGAATAATTTCTACTTTTATTCAAGTTACTAACTAAGGAAGAAAGCAGTTAGTTATTCCAGACTTATCCTTAATATAAGTACTAAATGTTTTTAAATAGTAGGCACAGTACCTTGGTTTAGGGGAAAGAGACTAGATTTGAAGAGCTGCCTATATCAATATAAAAAAAAAGATAAGTAGCTCCTAGAACTAACACGTGCATATAGAAAAGTCAGAGGATACAAGGTCAGCATGCACATGCACACATGCACGAGGGACACAGACACATCAATCATATTTCTATACAACAGTAATGTACAAAAGAAACCAAAATTTAAAAAGTATCATGTACGATAAAAAAAATTCTTAGGCATAAATATATAGTAGGTCCTCAAATAACATCATTTCATTATAATATTGATAAGATGCCATGAACTTAACTCTCTTATTTATATCAATTAGTTTAATGGTAATATTGGTTTTATTATATGTCATATTGCTTAAAGTTGCAGAACCTACTGATGATGTTAAGTGAGGACTTACTATAATAAAATATATACATGATGCTGAAAACTAAGGATACTGATCAAAGAAGACCTAAGTAAATGAAGAAATATATGGTTATGGACTGAAATATTCAACACAGGGAAAAAGTCAATTCTCCCCCAAGATACTTTCTGAATTTAACCCAAACCTATCAAAATTCAAGACATTTTATAAATAAAGAAAATGGAGTTCTTAAAACATACATGAAAAGGCAAAGGAACTTCTTAGGACAAACAGCAGTACTCAACACTATGTGGTACTGGAGAAGGAGAAACACGCAACATCAAGAGCCGAGAACAGAGTCTGAGAACAAACCCACACAAATAGGAAGTAATTTTTGAAAAAGTACAAAAGCAATTCAATGGAGGACGGCTAATTGTTCAACAAATGGTATTAGAACACCACTTGCCACAGGCAAAAAACTAAACCCTCAAAGTGCACCAAGTTACCTTTCTAAAATGCAAGTCAGATAATATCACATTCCTGTCTTCTAGATTACAGATGACACAGACACAGCACACTAAACAAGAGCCTTTGCAGTCACGGCCCAGGCAGTTTTCTCTCTATTCTCCCGGTATCCACACCCCATCGCCTATCCAGGTCCCCTTATACCACTCTAAACTCTTATTTCCCTTTAGACTACTGTGGGTACCTTGAAAAATACATTATCTTCAATCATTTGTATTGTCTGCAAAATCTCAAATACATTTCCCACCCATGTTTTTTTGCATGTACCAATCAGACTCAAATTTAAAATCCAGTTCAGGAGGACTTCCGGCCAAGATTGAGGCGTAGGTGGAAACACTGCCTCCTCGCACAACCAAGTTTAAAGACAACGAAGTTTTAGTAACAAAAACACAGCCAAAACACAAAAAATTGAACTATACGAAAGTCCGACAAAAACAAACCCGGTCATCCAGGCCAGTAAGAGAGGTGGAGTCAGCTCGAAGCGGGGTCAGGCAAGAAAGATCTGCCAGACTGACCCAGGAGCGCAGGTGGCGGGTGGCATCTCAGATGTGGGGTGGCAATGGGCAGACCCACTCAGGGCGCAAGGCGGCTGGCTGACCAAGGGCACACATTCACGCATAGACAAACCAAGTGAAGGAGCGAGCAGTGAGACAGACCACTCAGGCCAGGGCCCCAGCTCTGGGAATTAGAGCCTGAAAGCACCAACTGGAAAGACTTTCCGGGTGGAGTGCTAGGAGGAGCTCCCAGGCTCACAGAAAGTTCATTGGAGAGACCCACAGGGTCCTGGAGAGTACACAAGCCCACACACCTGGGAACCAGCACCAGAAGGGCCCAATTTGCTTGTGGGAAGCAGCAGAGGGGAATGAAATCTGAGATAGCGGAACAAACACCATTGCTCCTCTCTGACCCTGCCCCCACATACAGCATCACAACCCAGTGACCTGGGTGGCCCCGCCCTGGTGAACACCTAAGGCTCCACCCCTCATACATAACAGGTGCAAACAGCCCAAAACATTTTGTCTCAAAAAGAACAACAGCTCAAACCCCCAGAGCCAATACTTCTAAGCAACCAGGAGATAGTCAACCTATCGGATGCACAGTTCAAAACACTGGTGATCAGGATGCTCACAAAACTGATTGATTCTAGTCACAAATTAGAGGAACAAATGAAGGCCAAACTAATTGAAATTAATGGAAATACACAGGAGACCAATAATAATGGAAAGGATACTGGGACTCAGATCAATGGAGTGGAGGAGAAGGAAGAAAAAAATGACCAAACAGAAAAGAATGAAGGAATGAGAATTCAAAAAAAATGAGGAGAGGCTTAGGAACTCCAGGACATCTTTAAACATTCCAACATCAGAATTATAGGGGTACCAAAAGGGAAAGAAGAAGAGCAACAAGTGGAACACTTATTTGAACGAATAATAAAAGAGAACTTCCCCAATCTGGCAAAGGCAATAGATTTCCAGGAACCTCAGAGAGTCCCAAAGAAGTTGGACCCAAGAAGGAACACACCAAGGCACATCATAATTACATTAGCCAAGATTAAAATGAAGGAGAGAATCCTAGAAGCAGCAAGACATAAGGGGACAGTCACCTACAAAGGAGTTCCCATCAGACTGTCAGCAGATCTCTCAAAAGAGACCTTGCAGGCAAGAAGGGGCTGGAAAGAAGTATTCCAAGTCATGAAAGGCAAGGACCTACATCCAAGATTGCTCTATCCAGCAAAGTTTTCATTTAGAATGGAAGGGCAGATAAAGTGCTTCTCAGATAAGATCAAGTTCAAGGAGTTCATCATCACCAAGCCCTTACTGTATGAAATGTTAAAGGGACTTACCTAAGAAAAAGAAGATAAAAAAGATGAACAGTGAAAGGACAGCAAACTCACAATTATTAACAACCACACCTAAAACAAGAGCAAAGTAAGAGGACAGCTAGATCAGGAGCAGAACCATAGAAATGAAGATCACATGGAGGGTTAGCAACAGGGGAGTGGGAGGAGGAGAAGGGGGGAGAAGGTACAGAGAATAAGTAGCATAGACGGTAGATAGAAAATAGATAGGGGAGGGCAAGAATAGTCTGGGAAATATAGAATCTAAAGAACTTGTGACACATGGACATTAACTAAAGGAGGTGAATGGGGGGAGGGGTGTGCAGGATGGAGGGGAATAAAGGGGGGGAATAGGACAACTGTAATGGCAAAATCAATAAAATATATCTAAAAAACAATAATAAAATAAAATCCAGTTCAATTTTTCCCTTTATGATGCTTTCCCAATATTCAACGTATCAAGAATTTCAATGCAACACCTTTCCTAAGGTAGAAGAGAAGTAAAACTCACCTTACAAATTTCCAAATATCTTAACTAAACCTTCTCATGAGACCTGTAACCTTCCATTTAATATTACAATTTGGTATGTATATTCTAGTTCCTCTTCCAGTCTATGCTCCTTTAAAATAAAAATGCTCGCTCTGGCTGGTATAGCTCAGTGGATTGAGCACAGGCTGGGAACCAAAGGGTCACCAGTTTGATTCCCAGTCAGGGCACATGCCTGAGTTGCAGGCCAGAGCCCAAGAAGGAGGCACATGAGAGGCAACCACACACTAATGTTTCTCTCCCTCTCTTTCTCCACCCCTTCCCTCTAAAATAAATAAATAAATAAAATCTTTTAAAAATTATTTAAAAAATAAAATAAAATAAAAATGTTCTTTAATTCCTGGCACAACATTAATTTAAAATATTATTATAAATTTTTCTAATATTCTAGAATAGTTTATATTCTTCCATATTATATTTCGTTCTAGATACTCACTTGAGTGTTAAGTTAAAATCAAGTTATTCCAAATTCAATTTCAGAAAACAAAAAGAGAATACATCAGTCCTAAAATAAAGTTCCTAGAAAACACTATCATAAATTTCAACCACAATCTCTTAAATAAAACCTTAGGCCTTAGGTGAGGTTTTACAAAGTAGTATGAAATTTTATCTATAGTTTAATAATTCCAAGGGCTTTTTAAAAAAGGAGTTCTGGTGAATTTAATTGACATTCAAATTAGAAATCTGAAACTCCAATGCATTTACCATGGTCTGAAAGGATTTACATTTCTAGGAAATAAATGCGACCAAATACAAGAACAGTATATGCTGAAAGGACAGTCTGCTACTCAACTACACTTCGGCTGACTACAAAGACTCAAACAAGAAGTCATCCAGCATGAATTTCCTTTGAGGAAGAAGAGAAACGCTGACTTAAAACAAGTAAAGTTTAATACAGCTGAGGGCCTCATAAAACCTTGACTACTGGTACACAAATTAACTGTGAAAAGTAACCTCTTTCTTCATTAATACCAAGAAAGAAGTCTTTCCATTTCTTATGTATTTCTTATCATTATCATCTTTCTATTCAAAGACAAGTTTGATGGCATAAACTTTATTTTCCTGACAAACTATCTCCTCTGTTACCTAAAATAAATGTATTCCTTCTACAGATTCCAAAATAATTATAATGTCCTATTATGTCTTTCAGAAACTTGAATTTCGATTTAATCCTTAATATATATTCTTCATCTCATATTACAAGGATTCATTAGAATTGTTTTTCTTCAGAAGTAACTTCATAGTACATGTTAATAGCAGTAAGTTGTGAATTAACATTTGACCAACCACTGCAAAGTTTAAGAAAACTTGACATATGAAAGGACTTTTTTAAATTACTGATATCCATAGTTATACCTCACTGCTATTGCTTTGTCACATATGTACAGCACTACCTAAAGCAATGACTCACACTTTCAGAAAAAGTTATCTACCACTTCTAAATATAAATAAATCCAGTGTCTTGAAAAGGAATCTGCAATATTCGGAATTAAACTTGGCCCCCTCTATGATGATCTAATCAGGATCCTTTTCTCTTTAAAGTCACTCCAAAAAATGGTGCCATTTCTACTTGAATAAAAGCTCACTCTGGCTGGTGTGGCTCTGTGGACTGAGTGCCAGCCTGTGAACCAAAAGGTTGCCAGTTCAATTCCCAAATAAGGCACATGCTTGGGTTGCAGGTCAGGTTCCTAGTTGGGAGAGTGCAAGAGGCAATTGATCCAATGTATCTCGCACACATTGATGCTTCTCTCCCTCTCTTTCTCCCTTCCCTCTCCTCTCTCTAAAAGTAAATAAATAAAATCTTTTAAAAAAGAAAAAAGCTACTATTACAGTCATGGCATTTTTCCTAACAGCAGTTTTTGTCACACACTTTCATTTTTAATATCTATGTCAAGTTCTATGCTTATATAATTTTTCTTGTAAGAAATAATACCTCTTATATTTTTTACTTTAGTAACATTGGAGCAGAAATCATTTTGCAACCAACTCTTACCTGAATAATTGTGGCCAATATATTTACATAATTACTTTCAGTCTGATAAAGCTCTTTTGCAACTTGCCACCTAGCTGACTGCTTGGAAGGAACAGGAGTGGAATTTTTGGAAGACTTTGTAGAAGACTTTGGTGTTTCTAAAAGGTAAAAAGGAGGAGTGATTTAAAATGCAGGCCAGATATAAGTACCAAACGTTGCACAGATTTAACAGAAAAAGGGAAGAATACCAATTCTTATAAATATACCACCATACAGATATTCATTAAAGTAAAACTTCTTAAAATGAAATCAGAAAAAAGTATCAAAATTTCAATGACTCCAAATTGACAAACATTTTACTAATACCCTTCGCTCTTCAAAAATGTCAAGGTCATTAAAAACAAAGACTGAGGAACTATTCCAGATTAGAAGAGACCAGAGAAAGATTATGTAACCTGTGATCCTAGGTTGGATCCTAGACCAGAAAAATGGAACTTTTTTCTTTTGCTAGAAAGGACATTAATGGAACAACTCATAAAATTTGAAGGTCTATGGAGTAGGTTATAGTATTAATGTTAATTTCTTAATTAATACAAGAAATGTACCTATATTTTGGGGAATACAAATTTAAGTATTTAGAAGCATATCTGCAACATGCCCTTAAAACCCTGCAGATATTAAAAACGTGTGTGTAGAGAAAGAGAGAAACAGCCAGAAAGAATACAAACACAAACAAACGAATGAATGAACGAACATTAAAGCAAACATAGTAGAATATTTCCATTTGGGATATCTGAGTAGAGAGTTCAGAAAACTTTGTATTATTTTTGCCATATTTTTGCAATCTGAAATTATTTCAAAATAAAAAGCTTAAATAATAATGAAAAGGAACATGTAGAAACATTTAAGTTAAAAAAGGAGAAAGATATTGCTATTACACAATTACAGTAACAAAACTTTTTAAGTGTGTATATGCATATGCATGTGTATATATATAATTATATATATATAATTATAATTATATATATATATATATATATATATATAGAGAGAGAGAGAGAGAGAGAGAGAGACTCTCTTCCTAAAAAAACCCTAAGATCAACTGCAAATTCTGTTAGTTCAAAGTATCCAGTCCAGCCAAAACTGCAGGGAGGATGCATTCAAATATACACATTTTTTAAAAATTTTAAAGAAATTTTATAAAAGCCTAAAATATATTTTCTTACTATAAACATGGTTAGACTATTTCAACATTATATACAGACTCTCCTAATAGAAAGTTTTACAACAAGAACAGGAATATATAACATAAAATGGAAAGATATGAAAAAGATACTCAACAGTCCCAGCGCACCAATTTTACTCAATAAAAAATAATTTTAAGTATATTAAAACAAGTACATGTATTATAGAGTTTTGAGTGCTTTTGGAAGATAACAGACTTTCAAAGAATTTCTCACTTGCCTTGTTGTTTCAGGTTACTGTCACCAGACTGAGAAGCCTCAGCCAATAAAGGATACTTTCAGGAGGAAAAACTGATATATACTGATCTAATTTTATTACTATGTCTAGGCAGTGATCTACAAACAGGGATTATATTCTAGAGTATCTAAGATATTAGTATTGTCATGTCTCAGTTTTTAGTGGTTCATTTACCTTTCCTGCACCCTGTATTATATAATCAAGCTTCAATCCTTTATAATCAGCTCTTACTACCCTACGCCCATTATGTCCATAATTACAGAACCAGTAAAATTCTCAGATCTACTTATCTATCATAATTCCCTGCACAAGCAACTGACTGAACTTTCCCAAATGCCTATTGGACATTACTCCCTCAATTTAACTTGGATGTGCTAAAAAACCCACTATCTTCCTTCAAAATATAAACTTGCTATTTTTGCCAAGGTAACATTTCTCCCACTTTATACTTTGCTGTCTTCTCCTCTTATTTCCTTCCTATCACTCCATTCTATCAATATTTTCCCAATGCTTTTCCTATTTTCTTTCCATTGCTGATTCAGGGCCCTGTCACCTGTGGCCCAAGCCACTGAAGACTACTTCATGGTCTGACTAGATCTAAACTGCCTTCCTTCTGATTACTCTTCAGAATAATCCACTACAAATAATCTACTTGATTAATCTGCGGACCATGAGTTTCTAATGGTCATTACTGATGACAATATACAGTTCAGACATGCCAACTTGATTTCAAAGTCCTCTAATATTAGGCCCCAATTAACCTTTAAGGTTAGTTAATTATTACTTCTTCATAATCCTAGTCGCTATGCCCTAAAAACCATATCCTTGTTCCTCTTATATTCTGAAATCCACCTATTTTCTGGGCCTACCTTAAAATGACTTTGATTTCGTGAATATTTAGTGATTACCTACTCTGTATTAGGCACCGAGAGTACAGCAAAGAGTAAGATGGACAAGGTTCTTTACTACTAAAAACAACAACCAGGTGATGTGTTGGTAGGAAGAAGTGGTAGAACAGAAGAGGCTTAGCATTACAGAGAACCCAACGGAATTTCTTTAAGGCAGAGAAAGCAAGTATAATGTCCCTGGTCTATGGATACAGTAGAAATATTCAAAGAAAAACAAAGATAGTAGGACTGAAGCTTAGAGTATCACTGGAGAGAGCATGACACCACATGATGTCAGAGGTGGGTAAGGAAGAATTACATAGGAACTTGAAAGCTATAGTAATACAAAGTCACTGAATGACTTCAGGTAGAGAGGCATGATCTAGTTTTTTTAGTTTTAGAGACCACTGTAAGTGTTACATCTACAAAGGCAAAAATGGATATACAGAGACCATTTAGGAGACCACTTAAATTGTCTAAGAGAGATCTTTTCTACAGAAAAAGTTAGTAAAAGATGACAAAGGTCTAACACTGACAGTGGTGGAGAAAACCAAAAATTCTAATTTGATTATGTTAAGACTATGATATGGATAAAGAGATATGAAGTAGGCCACTGGAGAAGGAGGACAATAACTTTTATAGTCATCAGCATATGTTGTTAAAACCATGGAATTGAATGAGATCATTTAGAGAATTAAAATAGAGAAGAAACAACAAAAAATAACTCAATATTATTAGAGTTGGATACAGAAGGTAGGCAAAGGAGAATGAGAATTGAGTAATACGCAAAAGCCAAGGGGAAAAAATGTGTCCAGGACTAAGTAGCTGTTCATCTATTGAATGCTATTGATGGTATAAAAACTGTCATCTCCCCCAGAACAAGGCAATTTTACACAGTAGGGTGGAGTGGGGAAAGCGGTGGAATGAAGTTCAATTGGAATGAGTTGAAAAGACAGTGAAAAGCAAGGAAAGGAGACAATGGCTCTTTGAAGAGTACTCATGTGAACAGGAGAAGAGAAATGGGATAACTGAAGAATGTAATGAGTTCAAAGGAATCTAGAAAACACAACATATTTGTGTGCTGGCTAAAAATTTAAAAAATTATTATCAACACAGAACAGTTCATTGTAAAAGCTTTCTTGTCTCAGCTGAGAACAAAGTAAACTCACCACTTCTGACCTCATTGTACCCGTTTTCCCCATAATACACCTGTGATTTTGTTTAGCTCGTGCAAAGAATTTGCTCTTTGAACATCTCCATTACTTTCTAATGTGTGACCCTAAAGTTATTTCTCTAACCTCAGTCTACTTATCTGTAAAAGAGAAATAAAACCTATCTTATAAATATACAAAATATAAAAGCACTTAGCATACAGTAGGCAATCACTAATTAGAAGCATTTCCATGTGCTTGTTCTCCTCAGCTAGAACAAAAGTAATTAAAGACCATTTCACATTCACTACAATAGATTTATCTATACTTTAATAATCATTCTAGTCCCACTAGGATGTAAACATAAAATTTTTCAAGTGTAAATTACCTCCATAGTTAATGCTAGAGTCTGGTGTGTTGGAGATGTCTAGGAGTGACCCTATAGAAAGGGAATGTTCAGCTGATGGGCGCTTACGGGGAGGAAAGGATGACAGGTCTGACTCTCTTGAAAGCTGAGCCAGTGTCTCTTTCAAACGACGTCTTTTGCGATTGCTGTTTGGAGTATTTAGAGAAAGCAGTGACACTGATTTCTTGAGCTCAGGTGTATTAGCCTGCAATCAAAAGCACAAAAGCTCAATTTCACTTCCATGGCTCTTTACTGAGACAGCAACAAAAGAAAAACATAGTTTGTGAGTCTGACAAAACCTGGATTTTCCACAATTTTACAACTATATTCTCTGCCAGATAATTCAGAATCTTCATAAAACACAACAGGCAGGGGACCACTGTAATTGCCTAACTGCTAGCATTTCCTTCTTTTTCTTCATAGCACTATCACCAGCACTACCACTATCATATTCATCTGTAAGCTTGTTTACTGTCTATTCCCCAATTAGGACATAAACTCCCAGCAGGCAAGAACCATTCATATTTTGTTCACTGTATCCCTAGCATTCAGCACAGTGCTGGACATAGTGCTCTCCTGTATTTGTCTAATAACAGCTGATTTTAACAACTCTTTCTCAATGCCTAAAACATATTTTTAAACTTGGTTAAGACCCTAACATTAAGATTCTGAAAAGAATACAATATAATACCTACCTGTTTAGATTTTATAGAAATACAGTAAATCCACACCTCATCTTCAACATTCTATTCAAGATTATTAAATCCCAAACTGAAGCAAATATTCCCTTGGAACCTGCTTCTATAGCTTTATACCACATTTTCATGAACAGTACCACTTTTTACCAAGATCCAGGATGCAGGCTGATTTTCCTCACCTATACTGTACTGTCATTTAAATGACATCTTCCCCTTAGTATTAAATGGCTCCCAATACTTAAGAAAATAAAATCTAAACCTCTACAACATTAAAAACTTCTTAATTCTGCCCACTTGGTAAGCTTTACCTGTTACCCTTGGTTCCCACATTCTGCTCTAAAACCATGCTAAACTACTTGCTATTTTAATATACTTTCAAGTTTTCACATGCACTCCCACATACAGTCTAACCTGAATGTCTTTACTGGGTTAGTCTAGTAATTTGGCTCAATATTTATTGTTCACAATACCAGCAGGTGAAAGCAAAGAATGACATATATGAGATTAAAATAACATCATTACATTGAGGGTTTTCACCGAAGTATACATAGACTCCTAGCCCATATTCAATTGTTCTCAAACTCCTGACGTGATATAAAAGATGATGACCTGTAGGCTAATTACAACATGTTCTTTCTGATTAGAAAAGTGTCATCTTTATGCAATCAATTCACAGAATAAATGACTAAGGTACCAAAAAAAGAAAAAGCATACCTTTTCATATAAATACATAGTTTCCCCAGCTCGGGCATCCATTTGAATGCTTCCCCAGAACCACTAGGTGAGAAAAAGAACATTTTAATTAGGAAATCAACTTATCGGAAAACCAACGGTAGTATTTTTAGAAAACCAATCTCATTTTAGAATTACTTGCCTCTTGCTTGACAACGTAAAGTTTCTTAGAAGGTTCGAATGGAAGTTCTTTTACTATATTCTCTTCAACTATAAGGTGAGTGCACCTTTCATCCCCAACCGGTAAGTATCTACCTCCTACAGAAGAATGCATACAAACGTAAATAACACACACTACCTTCAAACCCAAATTTTTAAAGAGGCAAATTCACCAGAAATCATTAGGCAGGAGTGGAAATAAAACACATATATAAAACCTACCTTGCATTTCAGTCATTTCTTCCATATTAGTTTTTTCTTCATCTGAAAATCCAAGGAAACTTAAAATGCAATCTTGAAATGGAGGAACTTTAAATTCATTTCTAAAATCATCAACTGATGCACAGAAATCCCTAAAAACAAAACATATTCCAATTCAACAAATTAGGCATGTCAATTTATAATTCTCAAGGTTTTGCATAATCCATTCATTGAAAACATTTTACATCTAGTCCTTTTAACAACAACAAAAAAAAAAGTTAAAAAAATCTGATGTGCCCTGAGTCATCCTGAATTAACTTCTGACAAAACTTGATCACAGGCAGTCTTTACAAGATTCAAATTTCTGCTCTGTACATGAAATTTTATGTGTATTCTAGGGGTTCTCAGTCTTTTTTTTCTTTATAACTATCTGTACCATAGGATTTTTTAAAAGATTTTATTTATTTCTTTATTTTTGGAGAGAAGGGAAGGAAGGGAGAAAGAGAGGAAAAGAAACACCAATGTGTGGTTGCTACTTGCACACCCCCTACTGGGGCCCCGACACACAACCCAGGCATGTGCCCTGACTGGCAATCGAACCAGTGATCCTTTGGTTCACAGGCCTGTGCTCAATCCACTGAGCTACACCAGCCAGAGCTAGCGGTCTAGTTTTACAAAATCTTAAGTAACGAAGAAGTATAATAGCAAAAAATTATAAGGTTAGAAAGCTTATAAAAGTTATGAATTATAATCACCACTTAAAATGTAGCCAGAAAAACATAAAATATGAATAAAAAGCAATCCAAACATCCAGATGCATTTAGCTATTATTAAATTACCTAATAATTTTAGAATATTTATGATAATCAAAATTATTTCACAAGATGAAGTACAAAGATAACCACAGATGTCTTTCAGTTTTTAATTATTTCCTGATTTTTTAAAATAACTTTGCCCTTCCTAAGGGCAATAACTTTGCCCTTAATTTCCTGAATTAATTTTTTCTATATTATCTATGAATTTAGGGTTTGGATCATGAGGGTTTACCTCTACAAGATAGTGTGTTTAATTCACATACTGAACTACTGAATTTTTTAACACTTACTGTTCATTTCGTCTTTCCCAAGCTTTATAAATCCATTCTGGCTTCATAATTGGAGTACCCAGGCTCACAGCAATCTACAAATATAAACATTAATTACTAATAATGTTTACTTTAAATAACTGCATTCGTTGAAGTTCTAAACAATTATATACATAATTTTTCCACAATTTTAGATTATTCTTCAATTGTTTTGTAACATAATATAAGGTTAACAGAAAAAAATGTGTCAATCATACAACTTAGGTTAAAATACCACATTTTGCCATGTATAATGTGCTCCCATGTATAATGTGCATCCCATGTTTTTGGCCCAAACTTTCAGGGAAAAAAAATCTTTCATTTTAATTTTTTAATTCAATTTTCTGTCTATATATAAAACTGCTTCTCGTGTTCCAGGGTATTATTTTGCATACAGATATCATTATTGCTTTCTAGAGTTACACTTTTAACACATAAGCATAAATAAATGAATTAAAAACATTTATATAGATATAAAATTAGTACTACCCATGTATAATGTCCATGCTTATTTTTCCCTCAAATACTTGGGCAAAAATGTGCACATTATACACAGCAAAATACAGTAACTTTAAAATAAGTTCCATGATGTCCAAACCATTTCCTTATTTTTAATGTATCTCTAAATTAAGTTCACCTTTATTATTATATTTCCCTTCTACTTTCATGTTTACTTTCTTGAAAGAACTGACCCTCAAGACAGCACTACAAAGAAAATATCTAATTAAGTAACTAAAAACTTCAATATGAATCAGAAAGTATGAATCCCCAGGAATTCAACATTACACTAAAATTACCATTTATTACACAGATAATACACTAATGGAGCATGGAAACAGAGAGACAAATATTGTATTTTCCTAAAATACATATTTAAGTGTAATCTTAAACTAGAATTTCAATCCTAATAAAAGTAAATACTTTGTCTTGTTCTTTTAAATTTTTCACAAGTTAAATCTTAGAACCATTTTATAAGAACATAGCTCTGCTCTGTTCCAAAAAGACCACTTAGACAGGAGTGAAATATTTGCTCTCATTACTTCCCAACCCCCCTCATTCACCAATGCTTATAGTAACCTGTGTTAATATTATTAATCTGCCTGAAATATCCATCTACCAACCCCCAAACTCCTACTCATCTATGAAGACCTAACTCAAGTTCCACTGCCACCTTCAAACCTGACCACACTCCTATGATTTAAAATTTTTACTATATGTACACATAAAGCAAAAATTGAGTATCTGATCTTCAGTAAAGTGTAGGAGAAATAGGCAAGAGTGCTATTATTAAATGCATTCCCAAATGATGCTATTCTGAAATACACAAAAATATTCAAGTTTACATACCCTGAATTTTTCTCCATGAGTACAATTTGCCACCAGATGTGTAACTTTGGAATTAAAGTCTTTTCGAATAACTCCACCCATGTGATGAACCAATGTCACCAATCTGACCTCAAAAGAAAAATTAAGCAACACTGACTTTATAGTTAATATAAACAATATTTTAAATTATGTTTATAATTCATTTAGCATTTATTGAACACTTTCAATTTATAAGATACATATAAGGGATTTTTATAAAGGTATAAATTTTACGGTAAAAAAAAATGAAAAGATTTTTTACATTATTGGCACAGGCATAATTATATATAGCGAAAAGCTAGTAAAGATGATAACACAAAACTTAGTTAATTAAAACTGGCTTTCATACAGCCTAAATATATTACCTTTCTTTAACATGAGGTTATATCACACCAAGATTCTTCCCACAAAACTAGAGTAATACTACATTAGTTCTAATAGAAAATTCCACAAATCAAAGAAAGAAGTTTTTATGAATTCTCTAGGGCAATAAGAACTCTTTAAGGCTGAACTTATATCACAAAATACTGCAATGTATAAACAAAAACCTCAAATAATATGGCTGCTAGGATACTGAACAAAAAAACAGTATAAAAAGATTAGACAGTTATGAATGTTTCTGTTAATTCATATGCTAGCCATCCTAGACAAAATATTTGTTTCTTTACAAGACTCTTCAGAATGTTCCTTCAAAAAATTTAAAACCTAGTATGATATAGTAATTTCTCCTTTAAAACTTTTAAAATGCAACCATGATACAATTATTAAAAAATGAAAATTTAAATTTATTTTCCTGGAAAAAATATTTTTTGAACAGAAGTTCCAAAACACTTACTAATTCTTCTTTCTTCCTGAATCCAGTAAAGCATAGTACCAGATTCATCATGCTTGTACAATAGAGTGGACGACATGAAAATGGCAAAGGCTGCAGAATATAACAATTTTAAATCTGTGAATTTCTTTATAGTAGAAAAGAGAATATGTCATTCTCAACCACATTTTCCCTTTTGCCAATCAACTATCCCAATCCAAAGATTTACTTGCATTTTTCGACATGCAACAAAAAATAGCAAAAAAAAGAGATTGCTAGTTTTACAATAAAAATTTTCCCATAATTCTTAAATCATATTTAACACACTTAATCTAAGCATACTTTGCAATTTACAAACTGAACGTAAATATATTCAAACCTTTAGTTCCAAAATGTACCTTGTCACATGCAAAGTATTATCAACAAGGAAAGATTTGACTTCAAGCACTATCGTAAATGCTTCCAATTAAAATTAAAACAGGTCAGATATTTATATATACTAGGGATATGACATATACTTGAACCAAATATGCTTCCAATTTTTGAACTTAAAAAATGGAGGTAATCAGTAAATAATTTAACAACTTACATATATGTATATGATTGAGAATATATAAATACATACTTATTTAATATATGTGTATTTAATTACCACCATTATGTAAAATTATTTTTCTTAATTTTGGTCTTTAAAATTTTTATTTGGTTTCTGAGTTTCAACATTTCTCAATCAAAACAGAAGTAAAGATGATGTGCTTATTACTAGTTTCTGTAACAAAAACACAATGACTCAGCGATTTTAAATTAATAAGGCAAGTTTAAAAATAGCAAACCAAAGCAATAAAACCAAAGAACAGCAACTAACTCTACTACAACTCATATATTACAAATATAGTTTTTAGTGTTTACCTTTCAAACGTCTTAGATATTCACTACTGAAAATTACAATAGAAAGTATTAAAGGACTATATTATAGTAGCTACTACTATTTCTATTCTAAATATTCCATACTCTGAACAATTAATGAAAATTTTCTGTTTACGAATTTCTACACATTCATTAATAAAAATTCAACCTTGAAAAGTCATAATGAACATATTTTTATTACCTTTCCTTTTTGTGCACAGTTTAATACGACAGGTGGTCCAATAACTCTAGAATCAGTCTTATATAATTCATTAAACACAGGATCCTGGAAGTCCATGACTATGAACACATTTTCAAATTCTGGAGAATCCAAACTTTCATATTCTTCCACTGACTCCATCTTTACAAAAGGCACTTTAATTTCCTTGATTTTTTTCCATGTAGTTATAGAAATAGAATTTAGATATTATAAAATTAATTGATAACTCTCTAAATAAGACCTAAAAATCAATTCAATATCAACATTTTTAATTTCTATTTTAGAAAACTTAAGTATTAAGTTATACTATAATAAGTATTAAACTTAATAGTGAACAGCTATTTCTTTACTTGCTTGTTTGTATTTTAATATACATATCTCCATCTACATTAAGATACTAAATTTTGAAGATTAATAATAATGGCATAAGCTTCTGGCTTAAGTCATTATTAATCTAGTGTGTATATAAAATAAAAGCAATAAATTTAAGTGCACACACTGTGATAGAAGGATGCATTAGAAACATACTGCTTTTCCTTCTGACCAAGAAAATGATGCCATACATATGGTTCCTTCTTGCACAAACTGTCATCAGAAAAATAGAAAAATTACTATGGCACTTAATATCTACAAAGAGGACATAGATTAACATAATCATTTCAGTATATATGAAGAAATGAGAAAAAGATGTGAAATATGCAGGCAGTTGCAGCTTGGCAAATAACTGTTTACCTCTTTATACTGTATATCTATGAAAAAGAATGAAATTATTTAAGTCCCTGTATGACTCATGTAAAAAGAGAACCACATAAAATTCTAAATGGGTAAATTATTTGGGCTGTATTTGCTAGGTTGATGTGATGGGCTGAATCATGTACCCTCAAAATTCATGTTGATACTTTAATCCTCTATACCTTAGAATGTGACTGTATTTGACAGGGCCTTTCCAGAGGTAGTTAAGGTAAAATGAAGGCACATGGGTAGGCCCTAATGCAATCTGAATTTCCTTATAAACAGAAATTTGGACACATGACAGATAGCAGGGATGTGCATGGATAGATCATGTGAAGAACCAGCAACAAAGAGGTAGCTACCTGCAAGCCAAGGAGAAAGGCCTCAGTTTAACCCAAACCTTATGATATCCTGGACTTCTAACCTTAGGAAATGTGAGAAAATACATTTCTGTTGTTTAAGCCACCAGTGTGCTGTATTTTGTTATGGCAGCTCTCACAAATTATTACAGCTGGCACAGAGAATTGGATATATTTCATATGCTGTCAATCATTATAACTTATAATTTTGGAAATAAAGCAAGATTTCAGAATAAATATAAAGTTAATGAGAAAAAAAGATAAAGAATTAAAAAAAAAAAGATTCATACAAGGTCTGTCCAGAAAAGTCAGCCATTGTTAATATACTGGAACAGTTTGCACAACAATGTAACCTGGCAGCTAAGGCTAGTGGACTAGAAAGTGCATGCGTGAACAATGACCACTTCACAGTACTATCAGTGGGGGTGGTAGACACCGTTGAGTGAGTGTGTGTACTGTGTGGCCATCGCATTCAAAATGAGTGAATAGAGCAATGAATCTGCATCAAATTTTGTGCTAAGCTTCCTTGGAAGCTATTCAGATGATTCAGAAGGCCACAGCTACGGGCAACTGGTGATTGACAGCTACATCATGACAAAGTACCCACTCATGCATTGTCTCATGCAGAATTTTTTGGTAAACCATCAAATCACCCACCTGACTTGGCCCCCCTACAGCCCAGATTTGGCACCCTGTGACTTCTGGCTTTTTTAAAAACTAAATCACCTTTCAAAGGGAAGAGGTTTCAGACCGTAGATGAGCTTCAGGAAAATACCAAGAGGCATCTGATAGCAACTGGGAGAACTGTAACAAGGTCCCAAGGTGCCTACTTTAAAGGGGATTGAGGTATCATTGTCCTGTGTACAATGTTGCTTGTACCTTGTATCTTCTTCAATAAACATCTGTATTTTTCATATTACATGGCTGGATGCCTTCTGGACAGATCTCGTATCTTTGTAAATATACAATAAGTCATTTAAATTTAACAATGCCAAATTACTTTATAAGAATTTCATTATTTGCAGTATATGCTATAGTTCAGGGTTTCAGAAACACCCAAATTTTAAAAATAAATATAAAGTTTTTCTACGCATCTAGCTTCAGAGGGCATTATATACCTTGTGCCTAATTTAGAACCAATCACCATAAATGGAATACAAGAATACAATCAAGGGAAGTGCAACATGCCACATGCAATGAAGTGCTTCACCTACCATATTAACAACACTTTTTATTAATTTTTCATCCGATTTTCCAGGACAACTTTCTTTTATTATTACAGGGACATCCATTATTTTAATAGTCTGCGGGAAAAAGACTTAAGTATGAGATTAAGAAAACTATAAAATTATTTACACACTGATGGAAGACGGCCTTCAAAAAAAATTAAAACTCCATACCTTTAAGGCTTCTACAAGTTCTTCTTGATTTCCAGCTTCTTGAACCAATATCACTCTTGTTTCAACCTGAGGCATTTCTTCTATTAAAATCAGAAATGTTTAAATATGTTACCAGGAATTAACATCAAAATCATTAGTTCCGAAACCTTTTTTTGGCTATATTGGTATATAGAGCTCATCTTTGAGATCATAACATTCTCTAAAATTAATATTACTTAATTCCCAGTTTATTAAAAAAAAGCTTGGCAACATTATCATTTTAAGGAAGAGAAAATACATGGTACCAAAGTATACAAACATCAGCACCGACCAAAGGAAGCATGCACTACCTTGTATAGTTATCTTCTTCAACAATGCACGCAACTTGAGAAAAGGCCCATTTACATGGTGGAGTAAGGGAAGAAGTAGTTTTTCACCTCACCAGATATAACTGACTATAACCTAGCTAACAATGTTACAGCTGGACTGCCTTCACATACAGAAAAAGCAATATCCAAAAAGATGACAACTTCTTTTTCAAAGCTGGGAAGCATTAATCTAAACAATAAATAAAAATCTACATAGTGTAGATTCTGTCAACAAATATTTACTAATATCTGTACTCTAGCTTAACAGTGTTACAGTTAAATCTTAAGAGTCTGTAGTCAGTAAGTTTAAGATTAATATACTGAGTTGGTGTTTTAAAGTACATTTACCTTCAACATATGAAGTAGGTCCAATAAATAAGTTTTCCTTACAAGTTTCAGTAACTTTAGAATCACAAATGGAAGAGTCTGCTAAGTTTGAACTCCCAGAAGTGGATGTTAACACACTATTGTCAGCCATTTTTCTATTCTTCTAAATTGGCTAAAAAAATAATAAGAAATATGAATTAAAATACATGAAGCAAAATGATCATTGGGCAAACAAGTATTAGAGGCTCTACTTTTGTACTAGAATTTATAAAAAGCATCATGTTTTTCTTAATATTGAACCAAAGAAAGTCACTCAACTTTTCTGAGCCTTAGTTTCCTCTTCTATAAAATAAAGATACTAATACCCAGCTCACAGAATACAGTAAAAATAAGTCAAAAGTACTCAGAACATCACCTAACATATGAACACCCAAAAGGTACTCAAATATAATTTTACCTCCTTTCCCTACATCTTGCCCTCAACCAACCTATTTCTGTTGCTATATTCATTTATAATACTAATGTCCCCAAATAATCCCAGGCAAAAATTGGATCCATTCTTACTCTTCTGTCTACATATTCACCTTCCTCAAAATTACTATCATTTCCACCTCAAGTACCTCTGGAACTTGGTGCCTCTTCTTGAGGTGTAATGACACAATGGCCACCTATCCAAATAGAACAGCCTCAAACAACTTTCTCTAACACCAGTTTCTTCAAACATCACTCTGTACATGCATTTCAGGGGTATGATCCCCAAAACAAATGTGACCACATCACTTCCTGGCTGAGAACTTCCACAAGCATTCCTCCCTGTGTGATCAAACCCAAATTCACCAGGCAGTATACAGTTTGATCCTGGCTTAGCTGACTCCGTTATTTGGCCTTGTCTCCTCTAATTCCCCTGGCCTACATATATGCTCCAGCCAGTGTATTTCTCAGCATTTCTAAAACAGAGATCACGATTTACTCCCCACCTACTTGCATTTCCTAGAGCTCAACTCTCCACCTATCATGTCCTTCAACTCCCAAACCACCACTCTTGATTCATCCTCTATGGATTTCTTTGAACTACTCATGTATGGTCTGTTCCCTTACCTGTATTTTCATAATACCATACAAATGTCTCTCCTATAAAAAAAATTAACAAGACAATTATGCATGGGTTAGTGCCAATATGACTCTGGACTATGAAAAAAGTTTTTTTAGATTTCTGGGACTCAAGAATTGAAAAGTTGGACAAGCAGGAAAAAAAGGAAAAGTTGAGCACATTTACATAAATTCAAATGAGGAGTTATATAAATGTATTATCTTGAAGTAGATTTCCAGAACATTATCTGGAGGTACTTGTCTGATCCTTCCTAATTTTTCAGATTAATAAAATATACAAAGTATTCCCACCAGATTCTTAGCCAAGTGATTGTTTATCTGTACGCTATGGAGAAACGAGGTATCATTAGCACATTTCTTGATGGTGATGCTAAGCGCTGTGAAGATGTGAGACACTAACAACAAGAGTCCTAAACACAATTGTTAGGTACACATTAATAAGTCAGACAACTCAACTTCCTGACTCAGCTCTGCACTTAATAGGTTAAGCAACAGTCTTCACATTAGTGAAAAATAAAACTCAAGTCCAGTTGTGATGAAAGCTGAACACATGATGTCTTAAAATGAGTGACAATTATTAATTATCTTATAATACTCACAATGTGGAGATTTCTTATGGTCTCAACCAAATATCCATGTCAATTCTTATTCTGAAGCTCTCTAAAGGTGTGCTTCCATAGTCGTTAATAAGAGTCTTTTAGAATCCATGATAAATTCCTTTTTTTTCTTTAAGTCTCTAACACAATTGTTTTCAGTGGGGTGGGGGTGCTCTAGAGAGACTTTCATTCAAAGTCACTTCAAAAAAAAGTCAAGAGGTGAACTAACCTGCTTTAAGAACATTCTTAAAAAAAACTTCTGACTCAATACACTAACTTTTCTCATCACAGATAAATCTGTCATTTAAATAAATATTTACTTCTGGTTTCTTTTTAGTGAAGTATCTTTCAGGGTAGAGGAGCTCAATGCAATACTGGATATGTTGGAGGTGTTACTGACAACAGTAACAATACTTATAACATTAAAGGACATTATGATTAAATTGCGAACTAATTTATTTAACCCTTAATAGACGGTAAACATTGTTCTAAACCTTTTGCTTGTATTTATTTAATCTCTGCAACGATCCTAAAATGCAAGTACTATATTATGTCCAGCTGATAAAGAAACCTGGAACAAAGAGGTTGAGTAACTTTCCCCAAGTCACGGTAGTGGTAACCCGGGATTCAAGTCCGAACTGTGATTCCAGGCGGCGCTTTTATCCACTAAGCCACGCAAATCTGTCCCGAAGAGGAAGAGCTGGCGTTTTGTGGAAAAACTACACTGCCCACAGAGAAGAAGCCAAGAAGAATCCGGGAGCGAAACCACTACGTCCTCCACGATAAGCCCACAAAGGGTGCAGCGGCTGGTCCCCACGGCCGCAGAGGACAGTGTGGTTTGCCAAGAACCCCTTCCCAACTCCAACCCTTCACCCGGAGACTCTTCTAGAAAAATTATCTAACCAGGTGAGTGATGAAGATGAGTAGCAACCTAGTCGACTTCGGGCTCCTGCTCCGCGGCCCGGCCCCGGTGCTGGGGGTGCGGTAGGCAGTTCCCCGAGCCGTGAAGTCTGGGCCGGGGTGGTCCGAAATTCGCAGTCACCGGGGTGGGCTGTCGGACCTAAGCAAAGGCGCCCACGGCCGCCGGGACCCTAGCCCGCCCCCTCCCCCCGCCCCACCCAGACCCACAGTGTCCTTACCACTCTTAAAAAACGCCCCGGAACGCCACCTCTTCAAGCTCCGATCACTCTCACCGTTACCGCCATTCCTCGCCGGAGGTGGCCACAGGCAATTCAAAAAGTATGCCTCCCTCTCTAAAAGCCATGCCTATTGGCGCGTGATGTCAATCTCCTTCCCATTGGCTGGAGTCTCCAGAGGGGCGGTGATTGGTCACAGCTCCCCGCCCTGTGGTTGGTTGTACGTGTGTTTCAAATTAACCAACGGCTCGGACGTCGGAACGCCAGGAGTTAGTAGAAGAGTGCCCGGATGTGGCCGGAAGGTGGCGGTCGTCTCTCCCCGGCTTCTCCTCTGGGAGTAGCAGGTGTGTCTGTGGCTACCGCTTGTTTACTCTGTAAATATACCGTTTCCGGAGGAAGGTTTGAGCGGACTCTCCTCTCCTCTCTACCTTTCTTTTTTTAAGCGCCACCAAATCCTCTGAACGAAATCAGTGCCTCCATGATGCTGTTTTTTTCCCCCGATTGCTGAGATCTCTTAAGATTTTTCTGCCGTATGTTTTCTGTGTTTAGCAATTGGGCTTAAAGGTGGTGTAGCAGAGCCGAGGACAAGATAACTCGGGGGCTTTGCAGATAGACTTTAAATCAGTAGTTCGCCTGTTTAAATTCTGATGTACAGAAGGCACTGGACTCTAATCTAGGGAATTTCGTGGATTTTAAAAACAAGTTCTTAGTATTATTTCTCGGGCTTTTTAAAAAATACAAGCTTGCATTTGAATAAACGCAAAAAATATGTCAGGACATTCTAGAATTTCCTGGAGACAAAGTAAATTGCTTTCTGATATCCTCCCCCATCCCCACTGTGAGATCTTTTTGTTACTCTAAAGTCTAGCCAAGAATTTATCGTTTTCTCTGTAATAACTATTGTTATTATAAGACAATCTTAGTTTTCTTCATTCTCTAAATATAATACCCTATATAATTACCATCTCTTAAGAAAAGTACGCCTTCCTCAGGTGAGTTTGCCAACTTGCCACCTAATCAATCGACTGATTTACCTGAAGGAGGAAAGAGGAATCTGTAGCCAGAACCTTAAATTCTGTTGAGAAAGGCAAAACTTGTACTTTGAAATGGAATTCCTCTGAACATCTCAAACAGGTCGTGGGCGGTTACAAATTTTTCCGATTTTGTCAGACCACCTTAAAATGCTTGAAAAATTAGTGAAGCAGATCTGGTAATTATTGATTTCTCTGTTTATAATTGAAGAATAGTTGCAGTCAGCCATTCATTATAATCTTGTGATAACCTTTAGGACAAAAGAAAAACAGGCATTGAAAGTTCACTTTGGAATGCGCTTGCACACTTGAACTAGGGTGTGCCCAGCATTCCAAAAATTCTCATCTCTGAACACACCCTCTCACGGAGAGAACGGCCTCACTCTGGGTCTGGTTAACCAGGCTTTGCACTCAAACCTAACAACTGATTGTGTGGTAGCGCCACACAAACGGTACACGGCTGGCCTAACAAAAGTTATACTTGGCTCCTCTGAAGAGATGTGTGGCAGTTTGACTACCAAACAAACAAGCAATACAATCTTATAACGTTCCCAAGCCATGTAACTTCAAGGAAATGATTTAAACTTTCTGTGTCTCCATCTGTCTTTTTAAAATATGGCATGCTTGTTGTACTTAACTCATATTGTTGCGAGGATTAGAAGCCTTGGTGTGTGTAATTAAAACACACTCTGGCATACAATTAGCATTCGATTGATGTTAGCTATTAGTGTTACCACTACTGTTGTCTCAGCTGAAGCCCTGTAACCTCTGCCTTCTCACGCCGGGCCACTGGAACTATGGCGAGCAACTCTGCTTCCGTTCCCTTTGTTTCACCAGTACCCCAGCCACAAATGCCACCCCACCAGACCACGCTTGGTGCAAAGAACACCTCCATTGCATTGTTTTCCTCCCAGAAGGAGGATAGTCCTTCTACACAAAATGTAATCTTCCTCTTCTCTCTAAGGAAAATCATGCTGGACTCAAGCCACCTGCTCTCATCTAGAAGACATGGTTGTCATGCTGCTGCCCTTGGCCAGGCTTCTGTCCCTTTCCAAGGCAGGCCCTCGCTAAGATTCCTTATGCCTCAGGACCTGCTATATCCACCAGATGCAAGAATAATTTTCGAAGACCTTTCAGGGTTTTGATCTTATTTTATTGGCCAAGCTTAACCTGCGCAGGGGCGAACTCTCAGCATGTCCAGAGACACGGTGCCCAAAAGGGCTGCAGATGAGAGCCGCGCTGAGCGCTTACAGCTAAGTCCTTATATAGGGACGAGCAAGCAAGCAAGCATTGAACAGAAACAGACGTGGCAGTTAGCTATTTGCTGACAGAGATCGTGCGTGGGAACAGGGTGGGGTTTCAAAATTCAAAACTAAACAGATTACAATCTGCCTGTCTTGCTCTAAGTAGGGCACTCACATGCTGCAGGATGTCTGCTCAGCCTTTGTTTGCATGCTGTTCCTTGTTCCCGTTTTGCTGTGGTCAGGCTATGTTCTCAATTTCCCAGATCTCAACAGACCCTTCGCTGGAAATACAGTTATTGAATTCATACATTAAGGGGACAAAACTGTTTAAAGTTATTGAATTCATACATCGAGGGGACAAAACTGTTTAAAGTTTATCTATAAAGCTAGCTAGCTATATAGATAAATTAAACCGAGAAGTTCCTTGAAAGAATAAATCATTAAAAAGTCCTTGTGTGTCATCCACATCTCCTAAGATGCTGAATTGAGCAGGTTTCAGACAAAAAAAAAAAAACCACTAAAGGAATTGAACTGAATTTAAGTACTTAGTATATTAAAGTGTCTGAGGTATTTCCCCCAAGCAATACATAATTTCTGAAATGCAGAAAAATGAAATGGAGAAGATTTAATTACTGAGATATTCCTTTGGAGGATCAATTTACGCACCTCTGTCTTCTAAGTGACACCGTGGATGGTCCTCCCTAAGCATCCTCTGACACTTGCCCCTCTTCCACTTTATTCCCTCCTCTTTATTCACAGTTTCTTTCTTTCCTCTCTCCCTCCCCACTCTATCTCCATCTTATTTTTTTAATCTGTACTCCTTCCAGGCAGTGGAAGATGGGAAGTTGGGAAAGTCAGTTTTGGGTTATGGACTCTCTTTCTCCCCCCAGCCTCATTCACAGGTGTGCACACTGCCTGTGTCATCACTCTTCAAGTCAGCGTGAAACAGATTTCTCACACTTTTCTATTTACTTCAAATCTACTAATAAAAGCTAATATATCTGAAAATTTATTAAATATGTTGCAATGAATGGACATTGTTTTTGTTTTTATTACCTAAAGTTATGATAAAATATATTACAGTTGTCTGACATCATTTCTAAATGTGAAATGTTATGTTATCAACCTATTATCTATTTAATAATAAATTTAAATGTCTCGGCTCTTCCTGGGTAGATCAGTTGCTTAGAGTGTCATCTGGATAACTCAAGGTTGCGAGTTTGATTTCCTAGTCAAGGCAAATACAAAATAAGTGGAGCAGTGAATACATAAATAAGTGGAGCAACAAATCGATGTTTTTTCCTCTCTCTCTCCTCCTTCCTTCTCTCTCTAAATTAATAAAAAATAAATAAATAAAATTTAAATGTCTCGTCATAGGATTAAATGTTTTACTGGAACTAAATGTTAACACCATAATGTCACATGGATCTCAGATAATTGTTTCTCACCTGTCAGCATCCTTAACCACTCAAGGCATTTATGAAGTACGTAGCTATATGTAATGCCCCATCATGTACAGTTACAAAGATTCGTCCCTCTAAGAACTTATCACTTGAGATTTTTATTTTAAAATGAGTAACCATAGAATTCTATTCTATCTTGGAATTGTTAACATGTTCCAATTAAAATGTCATATTTCCAAGTTGCTTATAATGCAGCATCTTCTAATGCATTATCTCTGCCTGAGCATCATCTCTGCCTGAAAAACAAGCTTGAGAAATTATAATCACTTTGAGCCATAGGAAGCTATTTTATACACCTCCATAGCCAGTAATTATGATATGAATCATTGCTTTATTCATATGAATCAAAAGGCAATAAATAAATCACTGGACATAGATTTGCAAGACTATGCAGATTTAACACTTAAAATATTTTACAAATAGAATTAGCTTTCCTTGATGGAGCAAGAGGTTTCCAAATATGATGAGACCATTATTTCAAATTATATAATTTGATTAATAAAATTTGATTATATAATTTGATTAATAAAAGTCTCAGTTCATTAGTCTCATTCTTTATTTTACAGATGAATTTTACCAAGGCTAGCAATAGAGAGGTTATAGTCCTTTACCAAGGTCAGTAACTGGTCAGTGGTAAAACCAACATCAAAGTTTTATTTCCATTAATCTATTCTGTCTTTTTATTAAAGATATTTATACTTTTCATTTTATAACATACATTATATTTATTCATAATGCTTATATTTTTCACCTTTGAAAATGCTAAGATGCTTTCAGTTCCATAAGAGACTTGTTCACCATTGTATTTCTAGCACCTAGCAATAGTTCCTGATATATAGTAGAGTCTCCAAAGTTTCGTGAATAGCATTGCAATTAATCTGCAAGGATCGCCCTAGAGAACCCACCCTTTCCAGCACAGGGCTGCACCCACCACTGGCATTGTTTCAGGCTTCATGTAGTGTTTTAGGCTTAAATCAGGCAGCGAACGCAAGGCACCCAAGAGATTAGAAGACCTCTTGCAGAAAGAATGAGGACTCAGGCTATGTCAAAGCCAAGGGGTGAGGGTCCATCACCCCCCTTTTCTATAGCTCCCCAAGTCCTTCCCTTAGGGCCCCTTCTCAACCATGCCTGTCTTAGGTTGTCCCTCTTTTGAGGAATCTTACCCATTATTGGCTAACCAGTCATCTTCCCGGGCCAAGCAGGGTGAAGAGAAAGGGGGCAGAGGTGGTGCCCCTACCAGGAAGTTAAGCTTTGTCTCCTAAATGGCTTATGGTCCCACGGTTCTTTACTCAGCCTTAGCCATGGGGGATTACAGCTTCTGAAACCTGCTAGGGCAGTTCCCAATAGAATATGGTTTTAGTGAGAGATAATACTTCCATGCT